TTCCCGGATATCCAAAGAGGAAAGCAATTTATCTGGGTAAAAAACGGTTCTATTATTAATTAAAACGTACATATGGTTACCTATACAATATTACACTGCTCTTTAAATTTGACACTACTTGTTCTCAATTCTGGAAGAATGCTTCCGTTTAGTTCCAAAATTGCGCCCTTCCAGCCTAGGCGCACGTATCACCCACTAGATTATCAAATCCGATATTAAGTTTCAATTTAAACAACATAATACAGTTCAGCAGAAAACATAGAAATTCCAATAAAGGTACAAAAATAGAATCTATATCAAAGTACAAATATTGACATCACAAAATTGGACTAAACAGAGTGCTAGAATGTAACACAGGAAGAGTCAGTAAGTGTAGAATTCTTTTTGAATGTTTTGTTTTTGGGAAAATCCCTCCATGTTTACATATTTTTGCCATGACCTGATGGACTTTTTCTCTTGACATTTTTGGTATTTTATTTGATTCCAATTTGAGATTTTACCATTGTATGTTGTTATTCTTTCCATATTTTGTACTTATATTGAAGTTTTTGTGTTTGCTTCTGAATTGTACATATATTGTTTAAATTTGATATAATATGGCTACCGCCACATTTTTGGATAGACGCGGTGGCTGCTGGACTTAGTGTCACTTACTAGCTATTGTAATAGATACTCTACGGAGTAATTTAGTCCTGGAAGAAACATAAACATCGTAAGCCTCTGTATTTCCATTTTATAACAATAGAGACGGTTTTCTCCTAGAATTTTTGGCCTTCTGATTCGGCTGGGACGTGGATCTAGGAGTATCGTACCGGTGTGTTTCTATTGGACGCGATTAGGACAGCCGCCGGCGAAAATAATTCTACAGTCTGATGTTTGCTCTTCTTGCGTGAATTATATTTGGAAATCTCCATTGGAACATATATAATTTGGATCTATTTGGATTATTAAGAATTACAAGGAAACATTTGGAATTTAATCGTTTATCATACTAGACTTCCTTGGAGGAAGACGTTGGAACTATTTATCATTAATTTTGAACTGAAATTTGGATTTACTCTATTTTGTATTCGTTATTGAACTTTATTTATGATGTCAAACCGAAAAAAATCACACGTGAGGACGGTGGAAGAGCTCGACGGATCACAGGGCTCTAGGCAAGTCGTTAGTGATAACCTTTTTATGGGTAACCCACATGTTATGTCTGATATTTATTATTGTAAGTCATCGATAGAGGGTTTAGAATTACCTAAGGTTGAGCTCTCATATTTTGATGGAAGGTCTCGCGACTATTTTAAGTTCATACGACAGATAGAGACGTTTATAGAACCTCGAATCAAGGATGATCAAGTGCGTTTATTGTATTTAATTCATTATTGTAAGGGAAAAGCTAAAAATGCGATCGAAGGCTGTCTTATAATGGACCCACAGGCGGGATATAAGAGAGCTAAGGTTATTTTAAAACAGCTTTTTGGGCAGTCACATGTGATAGCGCGAGAAACCTTAGAGGACTTATTTAGAACTGGGAATGTCGAATTTAATGATCCTGAATCATTGACGAACTTGGCCATTAAAATGCAGAATGCTTCTTTAACTTTAGAACAATTAAATTGTACAGCTGAACTTAACTCTATGACTACTTTAGAACGAATAGTAAGGCTCTTACCTCGTCGAATGCAAGCCCAGTGGGCAGAGCTAGTATTCAAGTGGGACGAAGAGGAGAGAGAGCCCAATTTTAACGAATTGACGGAATTTATTATGTCTCGTGCTAAGATAGCTAGTAGTAGGTTTGGAAGATTAGCTTATCAGGCTAAAACAGGAAATAATATGGAAGCTACTAGTGGTCTGCGTGCGAGACATTCGGATTTTTCGTTTCTACCTAAAGCACGCCCGGAAGATAAGCGATTTGTCAATTATATCACGAAAGCATACCCTGATGAAGGACGAGTACGTGACCGTAACGATGTAAATTCTCTTGATGCGTGTCCTAGTAAGAAGCCGGTTTGTGTAACAGATAAGATGGCTTTTCTATGTGTAGAAAAGAAAGAAAAAGGCGAAAAGTGTAGGCATCAAGATGGATCCGAAGTGTGTGACGATAAAAGCCTCTTAGCTGCTCGAAAAGCCTGGAACGGTAATTTGGATTCGAGTAATCAGAGGTTAGTGAGTTCAGCAAATATGAATAAAGCCCAGGCAGGATTGACTGAACGGAATAAAGCTTATTTTCGGAACCCTTCAGTTAGGGTAAATTATATAACTGGACCTAGAGTAGCTTCTAGGATAAGTGATGGTGGTACAGTAACGGCTAAGAAGCCTAGGAGACATGATGCTACTATTACTAAGAAGCCTGAACCTCATGCTCTTTCGGATGCTACGACTAGCTATGGAAATAGTAGCCATCAGAACCTCAATAGTGACAGCGATAATAAGGATATAGAAAGTGTCAGCAGTTCACTTATAGGGACTAGTTTATCCACTTCATCGAATGAGCCTCCTAGTGTTTCGACGCCATCGGTCCTCGTCACGAAGGTTAAGTTGATTGAAGATGCACAAGGTTGTGCAACTGTAACTGTTCCTATTACGGTTGACCGTCAGTCGAGTGATGATGAGAAGAAAATGTTTGATGGTGACAGCCAGTCTACAGTGCTGTGTGATGACGATGCTATTGTTGAGCATATGTCTTGTGCCGCTGAAACGGATGCTAATGCAGAACGGAATCAATTAGACGTTGACAATAAACTGGATGTCACTGATGTGACAAATGAGTTACCGACGATGATGAATACTGTTCAAACCTCCTCTGCGGCAGGAGATGGAAGGATAAATATTGATCCTACGTCATGCTACTTAAGGTCTTCTAGAGACGACGAAATGTCAAAATTGGAAATCTCACCCTTGCATATTATTTATGGGTCAAAAACTTCTGTTGATAAGTTAGTATCACGGACTTCATGGTATCTGCTGATCGGAGCAAGTGGTGGTGGATTGGCGACTCGTCCCCACGATAGAGAATGTAGTCCTCGAATAGGATATGACCAGTTTTGCGACGCGTTGTTCATGTTCGTATGGGTTAATTGGGTAAGGTTTATACTACCGTTAGGTCATTCCACGATAGATAGGGGAATCAAGGGCCTGATGGGAAAGTATAGGTATCTAGTTAGCGCGATAGGTCATATCCATGTTGGATGGCGGGTAGGCGTACTGCTGTAAGTCCTACACGTTATTCCGGTGTGGATTAGGGGATAACATGGGAACCCTAAATAAGGTGTCATTAACGCTTGCTGTTTTTGCATGGAGGGATTTTGCGGGCCGGTGTAGAATTCTTTTTGAATGTTTTGTTTTTGGGAAAATCCCTCCATGTTTACATATTTTTGCCATGACCTGATGGACTTTTTCTCTTGACATTTTTGGTATTTTATTTGATTCCAATTTGAGATTTTACCATTGTATGTTGTTATTCTTTCCATATTTTGTACTTATATTGAAGTTTTTGTGTTTGCTTCTGAATTGTACATATATTGTTTAAATTTGATATAATATGGCTACCGCCACATTTTTGGATAGACGCGGTGGCTGCTGGACTTAGTGTCACTTACTAGCTATTGTAATAGATACTCTACGGAGTAATTTAGTCCTGGAAGAAACATAAACATCGTAAGCCTCTGTATTTCCATTTTATAACAATAGAGACGGTTTTCTCCTAGAATTTTTGGCCTTCTGATTCGGCTGGGACGTGGATCTAGGAGTATCGTACCGGTGTGTTTCTATTGGACGCGATTAGGACAGCCGCCGGCGAAAATAATTCTACAGTAAGAACATATTACAAATATATACATGGAGAGATTTTTCCAAAACAAAACCTTCAAAATGGATTATACAGAATATACTCACTCAAGTAAAGACAACCACGGTTATGACCGGGTGACCGGCAAGGTGGAAATACGTGTGAACATTAACTCTGGTAGAAAAGGTTAACTAGTTTGTCTAAAAGTTAGCACAAGCCATACGTACTGAACTCGTTATTACACACACTACAGATGTCTTCGCATTAAATACTGGTTGGGAGTAGCTCTGAATTTAGTTCATTCTTTCGGGCGACTACTAAATGCTGCTTTATATAGTTTTTATAACTAGTAGGCCGAAGCTTTTTCGTCCACTTCCGTGGCCTCGATGTTATTGCGAGTCAGGTTGACGGGACATTTTATCAGTGCCCAACGCTCTATCCACTCAAGTCCTCGCAAATCAGATGGCGGATATTCTGCTGCAAATATCACTCCTTTCTATGTTTAGCATCCCACCAAATGCATAGTAGGATGATTGTTCAGATGGGTGGACTTTTGGTGTCTCAGTATTATCCTATGTTCTTCTAATTATAAGAGTGACATCGAAAGCCGTGTTCACTATTGAGCTAGCGTGATAGACATCAATAGTAATTATCATTATAATATTTTTAATGACTAAATTTACTCTCAAATAACAATGATACATCAGGCCTACCAGTTAACAGGCAGGATGAAGATTTTGGGAATGCCAAGAGGCTTGCTTCAAAAGTTTGTTCAGTTAGACAAATATTTACTTGATACACTGGCTTTCTATAGATGGCGAATATTCGTTACATAAAATTGTATAAAATATTCAAGAATCCGAAATATACCATACAACAGTTGGCACGAATAGTGTCAGCTGTTACGGGACGAACGATTTTTGAATTTTAGATTCTTTCCATAGTTGGCCGTTTAGTTCTAGTCTAAAGCTAGTTTTAATTCAAAAACGAGCTCGCAGAGTCTTGTGATTTCGCTGAAGGTCACAATTTCCAATGAAGAGCACAAAGTTATGATGTTCACGGCTTGCGATGAAGCATTTGGAAACTACAAAATGACTAGGACCAGTGAAATCTAGTGACCGTCGACCGGATATCAAAAAAAAATCTGGAAGCGTTTAGAAACAACAAGAAGCAGTTTCAAAGGAACCGTTCGTTTACTCTGAGTCGTGTTGAGGATATTGAGTACTGGACTGACTAGCGGCCTTTTCGGGTCGTACGTTACTCTTCGTTTCGGCTACCCAGTTTTATGGGCTGCAAATGAAACCTAGTATCAGTCTCTTGGCATCACAGTGTAACCATATAAATGCCACAAAAGCTATTGCTCGTGTGTGCTTTGTACGATTATAACCGTCAACACACTGATGAAGTTAGTCATTTTTTATCACTAGTGTTAGGCTTTTGTTTCTATCTCCTTTAATTCTTACCACAGACCCTCAGTGAATAGAAAACGTATATCTGTGGGTAATTTTCTTGCCACCTGTTGAAGTTTCTACGAACTTTTGGGCTCGTAGAAGCCAATTATCCCCTAGTTACTCGTTATCCAAATACTAGAAATTAAAAGTTTGTTTTCATGAATGAGGTATAATCTTTGCGCGAAGGCTCGCGCTGTATTATAGTGCGCTTCTCACCCGATCCAGTCTCTTCTCGTGACACTTTCGAAACTGTGGGACCTAAAAGGTGACTTTACCCATCTCCCACCAACGACAAGATATATTCATTTTTCACTAAAAAATTAGAAGTTCACTACACAGGACCAAAACTGGGTCCTCTATTAGTAGAAAACCACATCAGCAGGTCTGCCAACCATTTCATACAAAAGTAGAACCATTGAGAAACAGGCTTAACTGCCTCACCAGTTGTCTTAATACAACATACATACACCAAGTTTCTTTTAAGCAAATAAATTTCAGAAAAAAGCCACAATCCAAGTGCATACATATGTGAAATCGCCAAATATCGTCAACCCTGGTTACTATTCAAACTCGTATAGTGGTTTTCGAAGTATCTAAATCGATGGGTGGTAGTTGAAACGAAGCTCTTGGAAGCGATATGCAACGGTAGTATTGGATATTACATAGCCTAAGCCTTCGAACTATTATGGTGATGGGCGTGTCTCGGTTCGTTCACATTTCTTTACATATCACGACCATTAAGTTCTGACGTCTGTTGGCTATGAACTTCGAGAATTGCGAAGAACCCAACCGAGGCTCTTCAGTTCTGGTGAAGCTTTGAGACTGACCTTTCCAGCCAGAGGGAATGTTGTCTGTACTGACTTGGATTCACCATATTAACAATACCCGCAGCATTCAGCCTCCACGAAACGTCGATATATTTAAACCAGCTGTCTGTCTGTAACCGCGAAAATAGATGATTTATCGGAGCACCAGTTGATGACATAAGCCATCTAGTGCTTGTATAACGGTGCAAGGGGACTAAGTGGCAAATTAGAAGATATGAAAAACATTTGCTTTTAATGGGACTTGAAGATAATAGTTTTGTGTGAAACATATCTCTGTTTCGACGTCTCGGATGGTGAAGTGACTATGTATGACATGACACTTCTGATGTAACCGTACTGAAAACAGGAGTGACGATATACATTAACAGCCGCCTGAAGACTGTAATACCTCAGAATTGAACTAACCGAGTTAATAGAATCATACTGGCGTTGCTTCGGTCTGGATGTCACCAAGTGCTTGGTTGTTCAATGTACCAACTTCTTTCAGGCACTAATACCCTAAAAGATAGGATAATCCAGGTTCTCTCACAACTACTATACATGAAGTTAAACAGAGTATTCCTGGTTGGAAACTTCAAAATCATCCCCAAGTTTCAGTAAGTAACATAAAACCTCAGCAGAATCGTTTCGTTAGCAATTTATTACAACCATTAGGAGTTCAGAACTGACTAGACATGTCCAACTCTCTGCTATTAGATGATCAGTCCCTAGCGTTGTTATGATCGATTGTGGAGAGAGTCCTCTCTCACTCTCGAATCCCATTCATACAGCCATGTGTATATAGTCAGTGTCAGTGAAGTCCTATTCACTAGCTTGTCGCGGCATGGATGTCCAAAAAATTCAGAGAACAAAAGGCGTATGTCCTGTTTAGGCTTGAACCAGGTTGATGGGTATGAAAGATCCATTTAGGCGGGGGGAGTTGGAAAATTAATTCAAAACCAATAGAGCGTGTATGTTACATGATCCTAAGGGTACTCAGTGATGTATGAACCTATTTTCTGTCTACTATAGAACCACATCTCCTAACTTTGCTCCCTTGCCTTGTGGACTAAACCTATAGGTCAAAGGATCGGAGAGTAGCTTCTTAAGAAAATCGAATACTTCGCTTCTCTATCTGAAGTTTGTGCTGATGTTGTTCTGAAGAACAACGAAAACTCCACAACCAAAACCTCCAGCTCAGAGAATGAAACACCACCACAAAATCACCTGCCTCAGTTTGGTCACTTGGTCAATTATCCTAGCCCACACACAAATCAAATGATGATTATAACTGGGAAAACTGACTCCCTTTTCGATTCCTATTCCCATTAATTATATTCATAATTATTTGGTAACGTTCGTTTTTAGACCACATTGCGTCCATTTTGTATATTCTTTTGTTTTTCAACTCATGCACTAACTCACCTCTGGTGGCCGTTCTGTCCTGTTTAAACAATTTTGAGTCACATATTAGTCGGAAGCTTAGTGATATCCCTGAATATGAAATGCAAACCGGTCTTTCTGAAACCGTTAGTGCCACTCAAACTGGCCTTCCTCAACTTCCGTACACTAATGCAGGTCGAACAACAAAAAGGGTTAGCTGTCTTCAAAGAAACTTTAAACATCGACGACCCGAGACCCGTATTGCAGATTCTAGTGAAGTACTACACATTTGCTCTCCATCGGTCACTTTGAAAAGCTTGTTTCATGTGTATTTATACAGGAATCCTGAGGTATCTCCGTGTGGTTGCGTTGGCGTTGGTGTCACGCTAGGTGGTGGATTTGAGGCAGGATTAATCAGTCCACGCTAACAGTCGATTATATGATATTAGACTAGAAAAAACGACATCAAAGTAAAAAGAAATTAGTGAGAGACACTATATTTTCTGCCCACACCGACAGTTTGCAACTTGGATGTAGTCGAGGATGAGTTCTATCACCAGTAAACTGATCGGTAGAAAACGCATTCGACACATGTTTTTGTGCTTGCCGTAGATTTAAATACTGTATTGGTGATTCATATCACGCTTTTGTAAAATATTTCCCAACTGATGACTACGTTAGTTTGGAAAAAAGTTAGGGGCGGCCAGACCAAAACATGGCAAAATTCCGTGAAGTCATTGACAAGTGGATTGAGTCATGTCGGTAGTTGTCGACTACCTGGTTGGTGTCCGCGAGATGATAATAATCGATGGTTAGAGACCTTGAACGACATGGCTCAGAATCGTTTGCAATGGCGCCGGTGCATTTATTCTTTGTGTTCTCTCAAATCCTAATCTTCTGGATTCGTCAGCACCTCTAGTTTTGTCTTTCTAGACTTATCTCACTGAATCATACTTCTTGAATATTACTTTCTAATCCTAACCTCTCTGATTACTTCTAATACTTTTACTACCTCTTCTACTATTGGATTTGAATTGACAATTATATCTCTGTGCTGATGTGGTATGGCAACATGAACTGATGTACGTTCTTACGTACGAAGTTCTACGTTGTATCTGACTGACCTGCACTCATCCATTTTTTATAATGTGAACTAATGAAACATAGTCATTATTTACTAGTTCTTATGCTAAACCACGATTACATTCTGCATTTCACGGTCTAAAAATGCTACTATTTACTGTTTTAAGTCCAAGGTAGTATATTACTCAATGGCTGAAATTGAATGGCTAAAATCTAAACCCTCTATGCATTTATTCATTGCTCATTTCTCTATAACCTCATTGTATTTTCTTGTAATTTGACTCATTCTTTTTCGTTTATTTTGATTCTGTCAATAGCTCTCATTTAAGAAAGGTGATTTATTAACAGTATCAAAACAATTAGAAGGTGGTTGGTGGGAAGGTAGTTTGAATGGATACGTTGGTTGGTTTCCTAGTAATTATGTCACATATACTACTACTACTACTACTACTACTAGTCCAGGAGGTAATTTTCTAGTGTACCAAATTCACTTGTATTATTAGATGAAAAGCCTAGTCCCACAACTGATGAAAGTTTATTGACTCATTTACAAAATTTTCAAAATGAAGTAGAAAAATGGAACATATTATCTATCAGTTTATTTATTTCAAGATTATACAACATATACTAGAAGGTGAATTACGACAAGTTAGTGAACTATCTCAATTATTGTCAATATTTCTGATTGATTTGGAACCCTTACTTCATTTGTAAGTTTTTTATGTGTATAACCCGACTACCTTTCATTTGTAGATCATTTTTGAATAAACTTACTCATTTAAGAGATATATTAATTCAAACTATTAGTATACATCAACATTTGGCATCAGCTTTAAGTGAAATGAAACGGTAAGTTTGTTGTTGGTAGTTATTTTTTTTGTTTTGAATTTAGTATTTGCATTGTGGGATTGTTGTGAAGATTGTTAAGTTACACATTTTTGAAATCATGAATGGATCAATGTTAGACCATCATTAGAGAAACCTGAGAGAAGCACTGAAAGACTACCGTTTCGTCCTGGTATGGGACTCATCAGTGGCAGTGCGCATCCACGACTCTTGCACCTCGCAGGATTTGAACCCAGGACTTTCGGTATTGTGCGCGAACGCCCTAACCATCGGACCACTGGTCCGGTCGGCATCCAACGGTGTTAATGTCTAACTTGATCAAATTCACGGAGTTGCGCAATCTCATACACAATCCGTTAGATACCGGCTCAGTGGTCTAACGGTTAGGGCGTTCGCGTACAATACCGAAGGTCCTGGGTTCGAATCCTGCGGGATGCAGGAGTCGTGGATGCGCACTGCCACCGATGAGTCCCATTCCAGGACGAAACGGTCGTCTTTCAGTGCTTCTCCCAGGTTTCTAATTGTGTTGGTCTAACATTGATCGATTCATGGTTTCAAAAATGTGTAATTTAGTATTTATCTTTCATCAAACTAAAATATGGCACAAATCCGTGAAGTCATTGACAACCGAGCTGAGCCTTGTTAGCAGATGTAGACTACCTACCTACCTATCTACCTGATTGGGGTCCTTGAGACCAATCGTAACCGATCGTTAGAGACTTTGAATGATATGGCTGAAAATCGTTTGCATTGGTGCAGATGCATCCATCCATTCGTTGACTTTTCTTAAACTGTAATCTTCTGCATTCCTCATCGCCTCTTTCTTTTCTCAAATTTGTCTCATTGTGATATACTACTTGAACCATATTTTTGATCCCTAATCTTTTTGACTACCGCTAACACTACTACCTTTGTGATGTACGCTACTTATGTTCACATAAGTAGTATATGATATCAAATGGAAATAAAATGTCTGACAGTAAAAGATCGAGAAGGAAAGAATGAGAACAGATGGCGTTTTGTAGGTAACGTACAGTGAACTGAAGTCTGAACAGTCTAAATGAATGAAAGAACACTGAAATCTGAAACAAATAAGGATTGATTTGCAAATGATGATTCACGGGAAAGTTTTGTAAATATGCCTAGTCAGTCAGTTAGTTGCAACATAGAACGTCGTACGTATGTGTACATAAGTTCAGGTTGCCATACCACATGAGCACAGAGACGCAAATGTCAAATCAAATCCCATAGTGATAAAGATAGTAGAGGTATTAATGTTATAATAAAGAAGACTATGGTTCGAAGATATTATTCAAGAAGTATGATTCAGTGAGTGAGATAAGGTTAGAAAGACAAAGGTAGAGGTGCTGACGAATCCAGAAGATTAGCATTTGTGAGAGCATAACGAATGGATGCACTTGCGCAATTGCAAACGATTTTGAGCCATGTCGTTCAAGGTCTCTAACCATTGGTGACTTTTTTCTCGCGGACCCCAACCAGGTAGCTTACATCTACTAACATGACTCAGTCCACTTGTCAGTGATTTCATGGATGCCATGTTTTGGTTTGGCCGCCCCTAGCTTTCTTCCAATCTACACTTACACCACAAAACATAGCTCGTCGCGGCAGTCGGTGGTTGGCCATATGTAACACATGTCCCAACCACCTCAACTGATGAAGTTTCACTACTTCATCTATTGATCTGCCATCCTTACCTAGTACTCGTTTCCTAAAGACAGCATTGCTCACTTGGTCGTCCCACGATATATGAGCAATGCTTCTTAAACATCGATGATCGAAAACTAGTAACCTACGAACATCTTCTACTCTTAACGGCCATGTTTCGCATCCATATAAGAGAACAGAGCGAACTACTGCGCAGTACACCCGTCCTTTGGTTAGCGAATGGATATCACGCCTACGCCATAAGTGACGCAGGTTGGCAAAAGCCAATTGAGCTTTCTGTATGCCTAACAACTCTGTGATATTCGCTTAAATATACATTGTTAATGTCCTCACCTGAGTTCTGGAGCACATCACCTCTACTAATATGTGCTTATGTGGTATGGCAACTTGAACTGATGTACGTACGTACGAAGTTCTACATTGTAGCTGACTCACTGACTCACTGATCATCTTTCATCATTGTTGTTTTTTTTTCTCTTCTCTTTCCAACAGTTCACATGGACCAAAATGTATGGGTCGATTATTTTTAGATTTTGCTTCAGCAATTAATGCTGTTGGTTGTGATTATTCAAAAATTTATTTACATGTTATCACTGGATTAGAACAACATGTGTAAGTTGTAATGTGTTCATTATTGATAAGATAAATTTTTTAAATTTTTAATCTATAAATCTTATCAGTTTTTTTTTTAAGATGGCTGGCCAATCAGTATATTTAAATATTCGATTATGAATAGTACAACAGTCAGTCAATCAGTCAGTCAGATGCAACGTAGAACTTTGTACGGAAGAACGTACATCAGTTCATGTTGCCATACCACCAAATTAGCACACGGAGATATAATTGTCAATACAAATCCAATAGTAGTAGAAGAGGTAGTAAAGGTATTAGAAGTAATCGGAGAGGTTATTATTCAAGAAGTATGATTCAGTGCGATAAGTCTAGAAAGACAAAACTAGAGGTGTTGAAGAATCCAGAAGTTTAGCTATTGAGAGAGCACAACGAATGGATGCACTTGCGCCATTGCAAACGGTTTTGAGCCATGTCATTCAGGGTATCTAACCATCATCGATTATTATCATCTCGCCGACCCCAACCAGGTATTCGACAACTACCCACATGACTCAGTCCACTTGTCAATGACTTCTTCATGAATTTCTGCCATGTTTTGGTTTGGCCGCCTCTAGCTTTCGTCCAGCCTATTAATACACCACAAAACATAGCTCGACGGTGGTTGGACATTCGTAACACATGTCCCAACCACTCCAACTGATGAAGTTTCACTAATTCATCTATTGATCTGCCATTCTTACCTAGCCCCCTCTTTCCTAATAATAACGTATGAATAGTACATATTGTTATCTAATGTGATTGTAATGGTCATAGGTAAAATAACACAGGAAAGTTTATAATCAGTTTGATTGTATTTTGTAGCGTTGGTAAATGATCTTTGTTTGAAAGTTGGATGTGAAAATTTTTGTGCCAAAAGACAAATTATTCAATAACATTGTGAATTTTACTAAGATTTATGAAGAAACATATCATATTTCTAAGTTGCTATATACCTCGAAGTGCTAGGATGTTTTTTTTTTGCGTAAGTGAAGAGTGGTAAAATCATCTAATCGGTTTAACTTAAGTATGAAATAAATTCATGAAGTCATTCACCATTGGGTTATATGAAGAACTTTACGGTTGCATCAGACAGTGGGTTTCTTTTTTCAGTCAATGACAGCTACCACCCACTTTATACTCTGATTAACGTTATATACCATTTTTGGCTTCGTTAAAGTTGCATTCTCTTAGCTACATGATATATTCGGTTAGAGTTTTTGAAGATTTGTGTTTTTACACATTTGAAATCATCGATCAATCATTGTTAGACAGAGCACCATTAGAAACTTGGAAGCACTCACTGGATGGCCATTTCGTCCTGGTAAAGGACTCATAAGCAATGTGCATCCACGACTCCTGCACTTCGCAGGATTCGAACTCTGGACCTTCGGTATTGTGTGCGAACGCCTAACCATCGGACTACCTGGCCGGCATCCAACGGTGTTAATGTCTAACTCTGATTGATCTAAGGATTTTGCGCGACCTCACCCAATTGACGTGACCAATGGAGTTCAACCCTGTTGGGTGTAGGCAGTAACTACCACAAACAAATGGGTGAGGACGCTCAAAATCCTTAGATCAATCAGAGTTAGACATTAACACCGTTGAATACCGACCCAGTGGTCCAGAGGTTAAGCGTTCGCGTGTAAGGCCGAAGGTCCTGAGTTCGAATCCTGCGAGGTGTAGGTGTTGTGGATTCTCACTGCCACTGACGAGTTCCATACCAGGACGAAACGGCTGTCTTTCAGTGTTTCCAGGTTTCTAATGGTGGTCTAACAATGATTGATTGATGATTTCAAATGTCTAAATGATAAAGTTGCCAGACTTTCGTTTATCATTCTGTGTGGAAAAATCATTCGTCAAATTTCTGTCTTAATTAGATTAATGTGAATTTCGTTCATTGAATGTCAATGAATTTTCAGTTGTATTAATGCATTTTTCACTGTGTTCATGAATTCAATGTAATCTTGTTCTTCAGTGATGATTATTCAGTTGATGATTTTTGTGTTAAAAACAATCATGAATGCAATCGATTTATGGTTAAGTTAACTTTAATCAGTCAATAAGTTAGTCATTTGCAAAACAGAACCTGTCATATTATATATATATATATATATATATATATATATATATATACCAGTTTAGGTTCTGAAATCACATTAGCACTGGCGAATCCTGGGAGTGTAGTAAAGTTGATAACAGTAATAATAGCAGTAGGTATGATTCAAACTGAAAATATGAGTTTGTGGAATAAGAAAGAAATTACAAAACAATTTAGAAACTTTGGAAGTTTCGAAAAAACAGAGTGAATGCCACTGCGAAGGATTTTAAGTTATTACTTACTTACGCCTATTACCCCCAATGAAGCATAGACCGCCGACCAGTTTTCTCCAACCAACTCTGTCCTCGGCTTTCCTTTCCAGTTCTGTCCAATTTTTGTTCATTCTTCTTATGTCTTTCTCTATTTCTCGGAGTAATGTGTTCCTTGACCTTCCTCTTTTCCTTTTGCTCTGAGGGTTCCATGTGAGGGCTTGTCTTGTGACGCAGTTAGGTGCTTTTCGTAATGTTTGTCCTATCCACTCCCACCGCTTCTTCCTGATTTCCTCCTCCAATGGAATCTGGTTTGTTCTCTCTCACAGTTCGTTGTTGCTGATAGTATAGACAACTGTTCATAAACACTTGTATCTTGTGGATGATGGCTACGGTAGTTCTCCAAGCTCCCGCTCCACACACTAGAACTGTCTTGACATTTGCATTGAAAATGCTGATTTTGGTGTTGATTGATATTTGTTTTGAGTTCCAGATATTTTTCAATTTTAAAAATGCTGCAATTGCTTTGCCGATCCGCGCCCTCACATCTGCATCGGATCCACCTTGGTTGTCGATGATGCTGCCCATATATGTAAAGGTGTCATCGTCCTCCAAAGAATCTCCACCAAGAGTGATTTGGTTGTTGGATGTTGTGTTGCATCGGAGAATTTTACTTTTTCCTTTATGTATGTTGAGACCTACTGTTGCTGAAGCTGCTGCTACACTGGTCATCTTCTCTTGCATTTGTTGTTGCGTGTATGCTAGCTACAATTTCTAACCATGAGTTAAGGTGACTTCACGGACTCAACACGTCACAATCCAACTATCAATGACCTCATAGATTGACGTGATGGCTTGGTTTGGCTGCCTCTAGTTTTCTTTCAACCTACTTCTACATCAGCCAGTATCATACTTTGAAATAAGCGGTGATTGGACATACATCAGACGTCGATAAGAACTAAATACTTCATCAACCAATATACTAATCATACCTTGTATCTTACATCTAACCTTAGCATTACTCATTCGATGGTCCCAAGTTGTACGATCAATGTTTTGAAAGCATCTAATGATCAAGTACTACTGACTTTTAAATATCCTCTATTTTTAGTGACCACATTTCACAGCTATGAGGTGAAATCAAATATTCGTTAGTGTACTCGACCATTTATTGGTACAGTGGTATTTCGCCTCAGTCATCAGTGATTCAAGTTGGTTATACATAGTGGCAACGGACAATTCTGATGAACACTAATGGAAGTTATAAATTCCTATGACAGTTCGTTATGATCTCTGACTCAAACATTAGTGTTTTGGTAGAGAGCCTATATATGGTTAATGTACTTGTTAAAGTATCCCCTTTAAGGTCAGATACCCGATTTATGACCCGAATAAAGATCCAGATTAAGCGACAGATAATGCTTTATTCCAGAGTAGGGAGCAATAAGAGGAAAGAAATAGCATAGTTAATAGTCAGTAGATTAAGTACCTGTTTGTCCACGCTCATTGACCAATTACGCTTACTTTTTACTACCATACATCAGAAAAGATTATTTCTTCTTGAGGGACCCGAGTAGAAAACTAGGGTAGAGATGCTCTCAGCTATTTGAGAGTGTGACCATTAGAGCCCAAAGAACAATGGCGTTAAGGCCAATCACATATTGCTTTTTTCGAGAAATTTTTAATGTGTTCACTCCGCACTTTGAAAGACTTCACAGCTGATCAGGATGAAAACCTACAATCAAGGTGGAGTGTGTATATTGTTAGGAACAAGCTTTTCTATTGATTGATTGCATGATGAATGGATAGGCAGTATCATCGTATTAACGATGACAGGTCAATAGATAAAGTAATGAAACTTCATCAGTTCAGGTGGTTGAGACATATGTTGCGAATGCCTAACCACCGACTGCCTCGTCGAGCTATGTTTTGCGATGTAAGAATAGGTTGAACGAAAGCTAGAGGCGGCCATACCAAAACATGACAGAAATCCATGAAGTTACTGACAAGTGGACTAAGTCATGTTGGTAGATGTAGACTACCTAGTTGTGGTCTGCGAGACGAAAGTCACCAATGGTTAGAGACGTTGAACAACATGGCTCAGAATCGTTTGCAATGGCGCAGGTGCATTTAGTCCTTGTGTTCTAACCTTCTGAATTTATCATCACCTTTATCTCTCTCTTTCTTAATTTATCTCGCTGAATTATACTTCTCGAATAACTTCTTCGAACCCTAATCTCTCCAATTACTGCTAATGCCTTTACTACCTCTACTAATACTATGGGATTTGAATTGACAATTGCATCTCTGTGTGCTAATGTGTGGTATGGCAACTTGAACTGATGTATGTACGTACGTACGTACGAAGTTCTACGTTACAACTGACTAACGGACTAACTGACTGACTGAACATCGCATTAAAGTACATTTGTACATAAAGTAATTTTCCAATGTTTCTTATCAATGTACTGATTATATATTCACTTAATTTTCTTTTCTTTTCTTTTTGTAAAAAATCTTATAGTACAGAAGTAACAAAACATATGCGTTCATTTAATATTAATTTACAATTACATCATTGTAAACAACAACTTACACTTGTATTTGAACGTTTAAGTCGTTATCCATTACTGTTAAAAGAAATGGAACGTTATTTAGAGGTAATGTTTAATTTGATAGTTTAATTGTATATTATTATTAAAAAACGTTTTTTATGACTTTGATGAATGTAGGATTTGTGAATAATAATACTATATATATACATCCTGATTAATAACGGGAAATGATCACTTATCAAGATTTCCGTGCAGCTGATTAAAACAACTGTTCTCATTGAAATTTGGTTAAATTATAAAAGTGTTACGTATGCACGTAAACATGTCAAATTGATATGCGCTTGAATTATTACGAGTTTATCTTAGTCGGAAAAACGAGAGCGAGGATCGAGGATTCGCGAGACGACATGCTACTCTAATTCAAGTGTCCTAAACCCTCATTGAGTGAAAGAAGAAGACTGGATATGAAGTAGAACCTGTATTCTACAAGCACCCAGAAAGTACGAGGTCCGAGTCCTGAAGAGAACCAGGATCCCGTATTAAGGATCCGTGTCCGAGTCATAAAACGTTACAGATAATGCATATTTATACATTTAGGTCGAATAGGAAAAGTCTGTGACATTAACAGTTAAGACGACCAATAGGAAACACTATTTGAAGTGACATTGATAGTCAGGACAACCAATAAGAAACAACTTTGGAGTACGTGACATTGATATCTAGGACGATCATAAAATTTGCTTTACGGGGTTGTGAAGATTGTTAAGTTACACATTTTTGAAACCATGAATCGATCAATGTTAGACCATCACTAGAAACCTGAAAGCACTGGATGGCCGTTTCGTCCTGGTATGGGACTCCCCAGCAGTGCGCATCCACGACTCCTGCACCTCGCAGGATTCGAACCCAGGACCTTCGGTATTGTTAGCGAACGCTTACCATTGGACAACTGAGCCGGTATCTAACGGTGTTAATGTCTAACTTGATCAATTCACGGAGTTGCGCAACCTCATACACAGTCGATCGATTCATGGTTTCAAAAATGTGATCATAAAATTGACCAGCAGGAATTAACCAGTAGGAATAGACCAATAATTCTCTTAGGATATTGGATGAATATCCTAACAAAAAGGCTATTGTATACGATAACTTCGTACTCCTAACCGTCAGTATCATAAGGACTTAAGTCATACAGATGAATCGACAGGAAAATCAGTTTTTAATTAACATTCCAACTGAAGTCCTTCTGGGGTTATTGTTAGTCCCAAGCCTGCATAAGGGAGGAGAGTTGGGTGTAGGGTTCTAACCCTATCCCGCTGAAAACCAGCACACTCATTTAAAATCTATCCTGGGAGTTTGAAGGTCTTCATTTAGAAGAGCTATGACGTCTCATGATGAAAGCTGAGTTTCTTCGAAAGTAACGAGGCCGATAAGCCTTCTCACCGTTAGAGCAATAATTAATACAAGCGCAGAGAATGTTCACACAGTGTAGGAGACTGGAAAAATCATTCAAATTCCTGCGGAAATGAAAAGATACAACCCGGTGGTGGCCAGGATGAAAGTGGAGTTAAGGAAGCAATGGACAACGGAACGAACAGAATCACAAAAGGTTAATTCGGCATTTCTTCAGGATATTGACAAACTCAACTGATTCAAGATGACTACTAGAAACAAGTTCTAGGTCTTTTACGATTTACCCAATGAAGAGGAAACTAAGGTGGCGAACAGTTGAAAAAAAAGTCAATGAAGCAATCACTTCAGCATGTCATGAAGTCTCACGCCACAAGAAGCACTGTCACAAGGAATGGATGTTTGTTGATACACTGGATGAGACAGGTGGGTAGAGCACGTTGAAGAATTGGTGAATAGATTAGCCCCGCTGAACCTACCGGACATCGAAGCAGCACTTACAGACATTCCAATTGATTTTAACTTACCAACAGTTGAAGAAATCACCATGGCTATCAGACAAATGAAGAGTGTCAAAGCAGCAGAACCAGAAGACATTCCAGCTGATACACAACGAGGCAGACACAGTAGTAACTGAGAAAATGTTCTGTGCTCTGTTCAGCAAGATTAGGAAGGAAGGACACCTTATGAAGATATCAAAGAAAGGGGATTTCAGCAGGTGTGGGAACTACAGAGGAATCACTCTACTCTCAATGCCATGCAAAGTCTTCAACAGAGTGTTGTTAAACCGAGTGAAAGATTCAGTAGACGCCCAATTTTGAGATCACGCTGGATTCCATTAAGATCGATCATGTATCGGCCATATTGCGACACTACGGATCATTGTGGAACAATTCCCTGAATGGAATTCATCACTATACATCAATTCCATAGACTAAACGAACGCACGCGACAGAGTGGACAGGATGACATTACGGAGGTTTCGACACAAAGGCGTGCCGGAGAAGATGGTCAAAATCATACGGAATTCTTATAACAGATTGAACTGCACAACCGTGCATGCAGGACTGCTCCCAGATTCTTTTCAAGTGAAGATCGGTGTGAGACAATGTTGCTTACCCTCACCTTTTCCCTTTCACCTGGTGGTCGATTGGATTGTGAAGACGTTAACATCTCAGCATAATCACGATATACAGTGGATAGTTTGGATGTAGCCAGACGATCTGAACTTTGCAGATGTTCTAGCCCTTCTATCTCACACACAATAACAATTGAAGGAGAAGACTGCCAGTTTAGCATCAGCCTGCACAGCAGTAGGCTTCAACATACACAAGGTAAAAAGCATGATGCTCCAATACAACACAACTTGCAGCAATCAAATCACACTTGACAGTGAACCTTTGTAAGATGCTAAAACCTTTGCATATTTCTGCACCCTCGATGATGCGCACAGTGGATCTGATGCAGGTTTGAAGGCGTGGATTCGCAAAACAAGGGCAGTATTTCTACAATTGAACTAGATCTGGCACTAAAAGCAACTATCAACAAACACCGAGGTGAGAATTATCAATACACATGTCAAGACAGTTCAACTGTATAGGAGGGAAACTTGGAGAACCACGAAAGCCATTATCCGGAAGATAAAAGTGTTCATTATCAGTTATGCATGCAAGATACTACGGATCCGTTAGCCAGACACCATCAGCAACAACCTGTTATAGGAGAGAATGAACCAGATTCCAGCAGAGAAAGAAATCAAGGAGAAGAAGTGGGGGTGGATAGGACACACAGTGAGGAAAGCATCCAAGTACGCCACAAGAGAAGCCCTAATTCTGAACTCTTAAAGCCAAAGTAAAAGAGATGGACCAAAGTACACATTACGCCGAGAAACGGAGACAGATATGCGAAGATTAAACAGCCAGGCTCATCCAATGCTTTGTCTTCTCTCAAATTTTAATCTTCGGAATTCCCCATCATCTTTTTCTTTCTCTTTCTAAATTTATTTCACTGAATCATACTTCTTGAATAATATCTTCGAATCGTAAGCTTCGTCATAACCGCCAATAATTCAGCTATCTCTACTACTATGGGATTTGAAGTGACGATTGCATCTCTGTGGTAATGTGTTATGGCAACCTGAACTTATGTACGTACGTACGAAGTTCTATGTTGTAACTGACTGACTGACTGACTGACAGAATGAACAGCAATCGGTTAGCACTAGATTAGAGAATGCTGCAGTCTACAGTTTGTATAACATTGATAAATAACATTCCATTTCATTTTTTTTCCTTAGGAGCCGCATATTGATCGAGACGATATTCTTCGTGCAATGCATGTTTATGGTGAAATATCTGTAAGTTTTTTAAAAAAAATTTTTTTTTTTGCATCATTCCTTGATTGATCAATCTTATTCATCCACTCTTTGTGTTCTATGAAATTCTAAGCTTTTGCATTCCTTATAATCTCTACCTTTCTCCTTCTAGATTTATCTCAACTGAATTATACTTCTCGAATCATATCATATCTTCGCTCCTTAATCTTCTTCATTTACTGTTAATACTTCTATTATTGCTATCACTCTTGGATTTGAACTGTGTTACGCCTGCATGTAAACACGTCAACTTGATATACTTGAACTATTACGAGTTTACCGAGTCGGAAACGAGAGCGAGGATCCGGTGACACGACATGTTACTCAAGTTCGATTAGCACAACCCCCATATTTAGTTAAAATAAGAAGACATGATGTGAAGTAGAACGTGTATTCTACAAGCATCCAGAAAGCACGAGGTCCGAATCCAGGAAAGAATCAGGATCCCGGACTAGGGATCCGGGACCGAGCCCTGGTCCTGTTCGTGGTCATAAAATGTTACAGATAATGCGTATTTATACATTTTGGTCGAATAGGAAACAGCATCGAACTCTGTGGCATTGATAGTTAAGACGACCATTAGGAAGTAACATTTGAAGTGACATTGATAATCAGAACAACCAATAAGAAACAACATTGAAGTATTTGACTTTGACAGTTGAAACGACCATAATTTTGACCAATAGAAATCGACCAGTAGGGTTTGACCAATAATTCTCTTAGAATATTGAATGAATATCCTAACAAACTGACAGTCGCGTCTCTGTGCTGATGGGGCATGACAACGTGAACTGATGTACTTACGTACGTACGAAGTTCTGCGTTGTATCTGTCTGTCTCTGTCTGATCAATCTTATTATTAAACACGTTAATAACCAACTAATTTGGTAGATTACTTACTGATTTGTGTATACATAATTACAGCTTTTAGTAACTTCCTTCCTGTCATGTACTTTCAATTGTACAATGCAGTAACACATGTTCGCACCTTAATCCGTAGACAAATGATGATGTGTTTTGATGATAAGTGTCATTATATTATATGCTTTACCACTCACTACATTCAATTATTAAATATTAAATGATACTTAGTTTATCAGTTCATATTGTTTTTATGATTATCATAAATGAATATGAAGATCTGTATCTGTTCCGTCAGGAATTAGGGTTCTTTTTTAATTACCTTAGGTAGTAGATCTCAACATTCAATAAACTATTTTAAGCTCTGGTTGGATTTTAGATTTTCATCCTCCGAAATTTTGTCCTTGCTGAGAGCAGGTAGTGAGTAGAATTTGTCTGTCAGTGGATATAGGAGTGCATTTGGAGAGCGAAAGCGGGATCTCCACACTTTTGATCTAATTAGAGCTTTAGGGGATACTGTATAGTTTATTTTATGTCCAAAGTTTACTCAAGTCTATTTCATTTTGGAAATAATTGTGATCCATCAGAGAAGTTTTTAGTGTTGGCGGTAAGGTCTTACCGCTGAAGATGGAAATCTGTGAGGTATGGTGAAGTGTGACATTTTTAGGGTCGGACTTTTCTAACCCATTGCTTCCTTGTGAGAGGGCAGCATTTCTGCAGATGCTGGTTGTTCAAGGGAAATACCCTACCGCTGTCACACCTTTCTACAGTCAGCAGTAAGACTTCGCCCTCAGACCTTGAGTAGCCACTTTTAGTGTCATCGTTCTCCAATCGACCTGCCTGGCATGGTGGGACCTACAGGAACATATGTTCCAGCCAATTTAGTTCGGTTTGGTCATGACGATGGGCAAGTCCGACCACCACGTCAAGGTAGCAGCTTCGAACCCTAATCTCTCCGATTGTTGCTAATACTTCTACTACCTCTACTACTATAAGATTACGTCTTTATGCTAACGTGGTATGGCAAATTGAACTGATATACGTACGTACGAAGTTCTGTGTTGTACCTGACTGACTGACTAACTGACTGTGGTCCATCAGATTTCATAATGATACATGATTCCCAATTTGAAACCGAAATATTGAAAATGATTAAAAGGTCGATAAACGAAATCCTAATTGATAATAATTATGTTTTGAAAAGAAACGGCATCAAGTAATTCTGTTTATTAAAATTCAAAAAAAATGGTAGTAAACTTAAGAAGCCACTTTGAATTCTTCAATCAGAGAGATATATTTAACTCTGAAAGAAAACTTTGTTGATAACTGGAAATCAAGAACCTCTCAGTTCATTGTCACATAATATTCAGTCGTCAGTAGGCGGCAGGTATCTTATCTGTCGAAAATGGAGGTACAACATACAGAAAGTGTAAATAAAAGCTTTGAATATGTAAAATTCTGAAGAAGAGACAATTTCAATTTGACAGTTAAGTAAGCACATAGAATTCACTTTTAATCAAAGAAAACAATCGATCAACGCCGAGATAATAATCTGTTCAACTCCTCCTAAAGCCCTTCCGAGGCTACTACCGGTCCTAAGTCCGGATAAAGGAGGAGGGATGGTCTTACAGTTGGTGACTCCATCCTATAGAAAACGAACTCGCTAAAAAACACGCTAACAAGAAAAAAAATAATTCAAACCATTTAAACCCTGCCCTGAGGTGTTAGAAGACCTTCATTCAGAAGAGTTACGACATCTCATAATGAAAGCCGAGTTCCTTTAGAAGTCACAAGGCCAATTCCCCTTATGCAGTGTAAGCGACCGTGAAGTAAGTCACATCCACCCGCATACTCCGTAAAAGCACACCAAAAGACCAAATTGGTCACAATTCAAATCTTAATCATTTTTTTTTCAATTCATAGTTTTAACTAATTTATTCTTGCACTTTTTTTTCTGCTTTTTCTTTAAATAAATAGGAAAGATGTGCAATTCTTAGAAAATTTAAAGAATATGATATTAATGTATTATTGTCAATAATAAATGGATGGCAAGGACCGGTAGATTTATTTTAGTTTATTTTTATTTCTTTTGTGTATCGTATATTGTGAAGTGTCTCATTTTGTACATTTGGTTCATACGGCATGTGGATCATATGTTTTCATAGTGTTTGGGGATGCTAGACCTGCGGAATTCACTTGATAAAGGTTCTAATTTTGCGATTTTTTGTGTTTTCGCGCACGCGCTGATTAGTTGACCTTGAGATTACATTTCCCACCCTCAGAAAATCCTTGGTTGTGATTGGTTGATGTGGTATTTTAGTAGGCTATTTTTGTGGCTCTCCCAAGGTGGTTTCTATAATGTATAAATAAACTCAATTTGTGTGCTTCAGGACCTCATTTTTTCTGGGTGCTTATAGAATACACTTTCTATGTCTTGTCAAGACTTCTTCCTCTACTTAGTTGGGGTCTTGGAATGCTCGAATTAGAGTAGCCTAGCGTGTCACTGGATGATTTGTCTTAGCTCTCGTTTACCCTGGCTAAGGTGAACTCATAATCGCATTAAAGCATATCAATTGACGAGCATAACACATATGTGACGAAATCTCAGCTCGGATACAGAAGGCTCGATTGGCTTTCGCTAACCTGCGTCACTTATGGAGTAGGCGAGATATCCGTTTGCTGACTAAAGGACGAGTGTACTGCGCAGTAGTTCGCTCCATCTTACTTTATGGCTGTGAAACATGGCCAGTGAGAGTAGAAGATATTCACAGGTTACTGGTTTTCGATCATAGGTGTCTTCGAAGCATTGCTCGTATATCGTGGGACACCCGAGTGAGCAACGCTGTTATTAGGAATCGGGTGCTAGGTAAGAATGGCAGATCAATAGATGAAGTAATGAAACTTCATCAGTTGAAGTGGTTGGGACATGTGCTGCGTATGCCTAACCACCGACTGCCTCTACGAGCTCTGTTTTGTAGTGTAGGAATAGGTTGGAAGAAAGTTAGGGGCGGCCAAACCAAAACATGGCAGAAATCCATGAAATCATTGACGAGTGGACTTAAACCATGTCGGTAATTGTCGACTACCTGGTTGGGGTCCACGAGATGATAATAATTGATGGTTAGAGACCCTGAATGACATGGCTCAAAACCGTTTGCAATGGCGCCGCTGCATTTATTCTTTGTGTGTTCTCTCAAATCCTAATCTTCTGGATTCTTCAACACCTCTAGTTTTGACTATCTAAACTTTTCTCACTGAATTATACTTCTTGAATGATATCGTCTAATCCTAATCTTTACAATTACTTCTAATACCTTTACTACCTCTTCTACTATTGGATTTGAATTGACAATTACATCTCCGTGTGCTGATGTGGTATGGCAACATGAACTGATGTTATTACGTACGAAGTTCTACGTTGCATCTGACTGACTGATGTGTTCCTATAATGTATAGTTTCATGTACATTGTCTATCATCCTATATAGACAATGTTATTGTCTGATAGTCAGTTCATCAATTTATTAATTGGATTATTTAATGAGAAAATATTGATTAATCACGCAGTGTGTATAGCTAAAACACATTTTATTTTGACCTTGGGATTCGTCCTTCCAAATTCATCTATTTATCTTTTTAGAAAAAATTTGTATCAGTATGTACACGCACACACACACATTCATATTCACATATATAAATGAACACCTACTTTGGTATAGATAGGTAGATTTATGGCTGTTCGTTGCACAACTTATCATTCATTGATTTGTTTCTATTTCTGTGATGTCATTTATATTAGTTTTTTATTAGCAATGAGATTATTCACTGTACACTTTAGTCAGTTAGTTAGCTATCAACACACCTGTTCGCCATATGTGTTGATTTCCCTAGAAGCTGTCTGTTTTATCGATTGATTTTGTTGGGGAATTCCAGACTATCCCTTTTCCAAACTTATCAGAGGCTTAGGAAATGTTTTATTCAACTAGTACTGAATAGAAGCTCCTCAGACATATCTAAATAATGTTTGTCTTTGACTAGCTATTCACCTATGTTTTCGGAACGTCTTAGTGTTAGTGGGACATAGATGGAATAAAGCATGACTGCGTTCGCTGCGCGCTGATTGGCTAATTCCTATTCAATCAGCTCCTGATCGATCTTTACTCGTGTTGTTAGCTTCACGCTGATTGGCCAAATCTGATCGATCACGTGGATTAGATTCCAGAAGCTTCTCATGTAAAAACTATAAAGAGACTAACTTTGTTTCTATTTCGCCTTCGTTTTCGGTTCGGCTTCTTACTTTCGTTTAACGTTGCTATTTGGAATATAATCCTTTCCTGTTCCACCGTGTTTTGATTGAGGGACTTGTCGAGTGTATTGTTGTCAGAGAATATTCAGCCATAGGAATAGCTGGGTCTTTTGAACAGAGATTTATAACACTTTGGAGTTTCAGGTGATATACATGTTTATATATAACCTCAATTTTTTGGTACCTAAACTAACGTTGGATTATGTCTGTTGCTCATATGACACACCTGTACTCTATTATTGTACAAGTTGAATTGTAGAAGTTATATGAAGCAACTAGAAAGACAGAATGATCACAGTTAAACCCAAAATTTTCATTTAAGTAATTATCCCGATGATTAAAATTTGAATAAGAGTTAACTAAGCTTAAGGGAAATTTTATGTGCATGTTGAGGATGTTAGATCCCCAAAACTCGCTTAATAAATGCCTTATTTCGGATTTCACGTTTGCCAGCATGAGCTGATCAGTTGACCTTGAGATTTCATTTCCCACCAGGAAAATCCATGGTTGTGTGATTGGCTGCTGTGTATTTTAGTGTGCTATTTTCGTAACTGTCCTATGGATGTTTCTATGATGTATAAATAAACGAGAGCTGTATGCTTGATTGTATTGTGTGATTGCTGGGTGTTTGTAGAATATACTTTCTACGCTTACAAAGTCTTCTATCTTCAGTTTGGGATTGAAAGATAGCCTATCTGGACGCTGGTAATTGTCTCGTTCGCGTTTATCGACTAAGGTGAACTCGTAATAGCTTCAAACGTCATACCTAGTGACGAATCCTACAGTGCAGTAGCACGAAATCAATTAAATATTGTAAATAAGTGTACATTATGAATTTGTAATAGAGACGTATTAGTTACAAGGTATTTATTTCATGTGTACCATATTTACAACAATGTATGATATTCATGGCGAGAAAATGTAATGGTATTTTTCAACAAATGTTCTTCTTCAACAATAGAGGACGAATGCTATTCATTTGAACTCCCGTCAAATAACGGAATCATGGGGTTTAACTCATCAGAAACCCGTAGTAAATCATGGCTATGAGTTATTGACCATCTGGTTACCAGGACATATCCATCTGCCAGATTGTTACGCCTGCACGTAAACACGTCATTTTGATATGCTTGAACTATTACGAGTTTACCTAGTCGGGAAACGAGAGCGAGGATCGAGGATCCGGCGATACGACATGCTACTCAAATCCGATTATCCCAACCCCCATATTGAGTGAAAAGAAGAAGGCTGGATATGAAGTAGAATCTGTATTCTACAAGTATCCAGAAAGTACGAGGTCCGAATCCAGAAGAGAATCAGGATCTGGGACCGATCCCTGGTCTTGGTCTTGGTCATAAAACGTTACAGATAGTGCATATTTATACATTTAGGTCGAATAGGAAAGAGCGTCGAAGTCTGTGACATTGACAGTTAAGACAACCAATAGGAAACAACATTTGGAGTGACATTGATAGTCAGGTCAACCAATAAGAAACAACATTGGAGTACATGACATTGATAGCTAGGACGACCATAAAATTAACCAGTAGGAATTAAGCAATATGAATTGACCAATAATTCTCTTAGGATATTGGGAAAAAGACCGAAATCTGCAACCAATAGCGTGCGTAATTTGTTATATACAGGCTATTTAGAGAAACATACCTTTGTATTGATGATGTTATTGGCTACTGACGCTGCCCTTTTTTTATTTGATGTAAAAATCGCTCTCCCTAAGATGACTATCCCATGAAATAAAATGAGCATAAGTTTGATTCCCATAAACTCTTAGTTGTGTGGTTGACTCTTTTACTTTTGGAAAACCAACCAAACGTCATGCCTATCGTAAAAAAAGGTTTTATGAAGTACTACTTTATCAAAGTTAACAGTTTTTATTGTATCCCAATGTACAATTTCTTTTGAACGATTAGTACTGTACTGCATTTCTGATTGATCTATAAGGAAGGATAAAAAGGAGAGACACAGAAAGTACAATGAAATGTAATTTTAAACGTCACCTCCGTTGCGTATATAATAATAATAGAGTCATGTTGATAGATGTAGACTACCACCTGATTGGGGTCCGCGAGACGAAAGTCAATTTTTTATTATATTATATAAATTTACCCTGTATTGTCTAGGGCAATTATACATTGGTTTTCACGAGAACCATAGAGACTGGACACGTTTTACCATTACTGCATGAACAGTTCGGCTCAATCCTGTGGTGCAACCACACAGGTACCTGATACCCTGGTGGACCATTCACACCGTTTCATATACACACAATGGTATATATATTTCCGATCAATGATCGCGTCAATCAATATGAACCGCATGAACAGGCCATTTCGACCCATCCCGCTTACTTGACTGTCAAACTCATTATTATTAGCAATGGTGATATGTAATACAGCACCCCCAATATCAATGGCCTTCGGGAATGTCGCAAAACAACCACCTATATCAATGAAATCGGTCACCCTGCTAACCAATTTTGTATATGGACTGTTAACAATGCTTACCAAAGCAAAGCCAAGCCATCCACAATATACACTGCGAACCTCTAGTCCCATAGGAGACCTTCAGCTCTATATAGCAGTATAGCATATGGTGTACACATATATGGCGCAGGATGATAATAGAAGAAGCGGCCCAGCTTAATGCAAATAGGCCCAAACACTTCTACTACCCTTTGTCTCATGTCGGGCAATGATTTTTTCGCGTTTCCGAAATTTTCATTTTTCCACTATATGAGACCTGAGTTAGGGGTAGTATCCCTGAGACGAAAGTCACCAATGGTTATAAGAGACCTTGAGTGACATGGCTCAAAAATCGTTTGCAATGGCGCAAGTGCATACACATTCGTTGTGCTCTCTCAAATCCTAATCTTCTGAATTCGTCAGCACCTACTCTACCTTTGTCTTTCTAATCTTATCTCACTCACTGAATTATACTTCCTGAATAATAATATCTTCAAACCCTACTAGTCTTCTTCATTACCATTAATAACTCTGAGAAGACTGAGGCAGGCTCAATAGATTGTATTTGTCAAATTTACACTCTTAGTCAATTAAAAACGATAACATTACATTGAACACTCCATTTGCACACCATCTTTGAGTCCTGACTTCCAACGCTCCAGCGTTCTTCCATTCCTGCTGTTGCTTCCTTTCCTTCCTGCTGGTACTACTCCATTTACTTCTTGCTTTTGCTCTATTTGCTTTCCGTTTTCCTCTTCTGACCGCAAGACTTCTTCTTTCACGTTCATTTTTATACTACTTATATCGTTCGTATAAGTAGCACACACCACACCTCTACTATCTCTATCACTATTGAATTTGATTTGACATTTGCGTCTCTGTGCAAGCTAATGTGGTATGGTATGGCAACATGAACTTATGTACACTTACGTACATACGACGTTCTATGTTGCAACTGACTGACTGACTGATATAATAATAATTATAATACTAATAACACTTTTTCTGTTGATTGTTTTTTTTTATACTTCAATTAGCCTATTCAACAATTGAATGATCCAATCTTAACGTTACGTGTTCTTTTAGTCAATATACAATTACATAAATCCCAGCTGTTATTATCTCTGCCAGATTTTATTTATACAGATGATATATTAAAAAGAAAAACACAGTTATCATTATTGGTGATATTTCCTACTTGTGTACTATTATTGGCTAGAACAAATCAATCGAATGTATATGATTTTACTGTAAGTAAAGTAAAGTTGTTTTTCTCTCTGTGTGTGTGTATGTGTGTATGTGTTTTATAATTGGTTACGTTGTTTGTTTTTCTTAAACTACCTAACTTTCCAGCTGTTATAGCTTGTTAAATTGATATACATGAATGTTATTACAAGTTCACCTTGGCCAAGATAAACGAGAGCTAAGGCATATGATCCAGTGACATGATAGGCTAGTCTAATCCGAGCGTCCTAAGCCTCCCTACTAACTGTATCAAAATGTTTTGATATGGACAGACAGACAGATACAACGCAGAACTTCGTACATATGTACATCAGTTCAGGTTGTCATACCACATCAGCACAGAGATGCAACTGTCAGTTCAAATCCAACAGTGATAGCGATAGTAGAAGTATTATCAGTAATGGAGAAGGTTAGGGAGCGAAGATATGATTCGAAAAGTTTAATTCAGTGAGATAAATTTAGAAGGAGAAAGATAAAGATTATGAGGAATGCAGAAGGTTAGAATTTCATAGAACACAAAGAGTGGATGCACCTGCGCCATTGCAAACGATTCTGAGCCATGTCGTTCAAGGGTCTCTAACCATTGGTGACATACGTCTCGCGGAACCCAACCAGGTAGCCCAAATCTACCAACATGACTCCCCAGTCCACTTGTCAGTGACTTCATGCATTTCTACCATGTTTTGGTCCGACTGCCCCTAGCTTTCTTCCAATCTACTCCTGCGCCACAAAACATAGCTCGTCGAGGCAGTCGTTGGTTAGGCATACGTAACACATGTCCCAACCACCTCAACTGATGAAGTTTCACTAGTTCATCTATTTATTTGCCATCCCTAACTAGAACTCGTTTCCTAACGACAGAATTGCTTATACGGTTGTCCCATGATATATGAGCAATGCTTCGGAGACATCGATGATGGAAGACTATTAATCTACGAAAGTCCTCTACTCTTAACGTATTCAGTGATCCAGTGAAATGATACGCTACTCTAATCCGGGCATCCCAAGCCCCGCTACTAACGGTATCAAAAAGTTTTGATATGGCTTAGAAAGTGTATGCTACAAGCACCCAGAAAATATGAGGTTTTGCACAGAAGAAAAAGAGGAGCATAAAACTTTACAGACAATGCATATTTAGACAGTTAGGTCGACCGTGAATTCTAGCCAATAGGAAACAAGATTTAAGAGTATGCGAACTTGATAGTTCAGGACGACCTTAAATATTGACCAATAGGAATTGGCCAATAGAATTAGACTCACGAAATTATCTTTTTAGGATATTTGATGAATATCCACGACGTCTTGGATCATATGTCTTCTGATCTCAAAAAACACTTTGTGTAAAAGAAGACAACCAATAAGCTGCTTGTTTTTGTAAATGAAAGTCTAAAATTGAAAAAGGTGTACGCCTTTTTCAATTATTCCGTAAGTTATAGTATTAGAGATTTTGTACAGCCTTACTTGCAAACTAAGACTTAATCGACTAAGTTGATATAGCTGTTTTATTATGCAGTAGTTGTTAATAACAGCTGTGATTAATTATACAGTAGCCAAAAATACTAATGAAATCTGTTTCAACACATAGTCAATCAAATGTGGAAATCTGTATTGAACCGTTTAACGGATACTTTTATTAATCATCAGATGTGTTAATTCTGATGTTAATTACTGTTGACAATGTATATACATAATCAAGTGAGTGTTCTAGTTCACAAACTTAAATTCTGATCTATTTACCTTTATTTCGACAGGGAAATAGATTGGGTTAAGCTACACAATTGTTTTTATATACCCCTTCTGTGATTAGGTGAAGTGGGCAATCTAGTGTTTAAACTACGTTGGGGGATACACAATAACCGTCTATGAGAGTTGAAAAACTCTGATTTCTTACTATTGATCAGCAAAATGCACTTTTTTGCGGATTTTTTTTATACGGAGTAATGGTATACAACCATTGTTCATTCTTCTAGTATGATAGTTCGTTTAGATGTAACTACCTAATAACACTATTCAAAATGGATGTTTATTGACAAACTATTGGATTAATAAGTTTAGATGTTTTATACACTGCCTCCAATTCTCTACAAAATGTATTCTTCGGTCTAGTTCTTTGCTTTTGACCTTGAGGATTCCGACCTGTAGTACCTATGCGTCATACCAGTGTGATAATCGTAAATACTTTTACCATAATATCAGTATATATATATATATATATATATATATATATATATATATATATATCAGAATGAGTAGAAGACATTCGTAGGTTACTGGTTTTCAATTATAAATGTCTTAGAAGCATTGCTCGTTTATCTTGGGACAGTCGAGTAAGTAATGCTATAGTTAGGAAACGAGTACTAGGTAAGGATGGCAGATCAGTAGATGAAGTATAGAAACTTCATCAGTTGAGGTGGTTGGGACATGTGTTACGAATGCCTAACCACTGACTGCTTCGACTAGCTATGTTTTGTTGTGTAGGAATAGGTTGGAAGAAAGCTAGGGGCAGCCAAACCAAAACATGGCAGAAATCCATGAAGTCACTGACAAGTGGACTGAGCCATGTTGGTTGATGCAGGCTACTTGGTTGGGGTCCGCGAGACGATAGTAATCGACGGTTAGAGATCTCGAACGACGTGGCTCAGAATCATTTCCATTGGCTCAGGTGCATTCATTCATTGTGTTCTCTCAAATCCTAAACTTGAGAATTCCTCATCATCTCTGTCTTTCTCCTTCTAAATTTATCTCACTGAATTATACTTCTCAAATTATATCTTCGCTCGCTAATCTTGTCCATTAGTGCTAATACTCCTACTATCGCTACCACTATCGTATTTGAACTGACAATCGCGTCTCTGTGGTGATGCGGTACGAAGTTCCACGTTGTGACTGACTGATATATATCTTCCATGTGCCTATGATAATCACAAATCCTTAGTGGTGAGGAATTCCAGTTCCAGGATTCAACAGCTATTCAATCTTCTTGATTATTTATTCTTCAAGTGGAAGTTAGTTAATGATAAAAGTAATATTAAAAATGGTTACTCGTTTTCGTAATTCCCAGTTCTTGGTTCATTGTCTCAATTCTTTCTGTTAAAATGACAATTCAAAATAAAATCAACTCTAATTGCAACAATCGTAAAATATGCTGCTTAACGATTAGCTTCATGAGGTGATTCTCAGAGTTCTAGTTAGAAGACGTGACCAGTGGAGTTCAACCCTGTCTGGCGTAGACAGTAACTACCAAAGACAAATGGGTGTGAGGTCGTGCAAAATCCCTAGATCAATCGGAGTTAAACATTAACACCGCTGGATGCTGGCCTAGTCGTTCAGGGTCTAGGCGTTCGTGCGCAAGACCGAAGGTCCTGGATTCATACGCTTGCAAGGTGTAGGAGTCGTGGATGTGCACTGTCACTGATGAGTCGCATACCAGGGGACGAAATGGCCGTCCACTGAATGCTTCCAGATTTCTTCTAATGGTACTCTGACTAACAATGATTGATTAATCATTTCAATGATACAAAACCAACACTAATCTCTATAACTCTAACTGAAACAAACAAAATAACTATTTTAAGATGTTTAGAAAATATATTTACTTTTATTATTTTCACATGAAATGACTACTCGAATTTCATTAAGTAGTCTATGAATGATAAGTTGCAATGTAATGATATACATATTTTCCTTCTCTTGCTCACAATAAAATTGCTTTTTGAATATGACATTTTCTGTACTAAAATAAACTTTGCAATTTTTTTTAAAAATCTAATCTAGGCCAAAATACCATTGAACAATTTAGCTGTGATTAGTTCCAATGAAAGTGAAACAGATTTGGAATTATTGATTACAGGTATGAGATTGATTGATGTTAATTATTTTTCTCATTTCAATTATCGATTTTATAATGAATATGGACAGTTTTTAATCCGATCTATTGATTAAGTAGAAGATGTATTATGCATGAATAATAGACTGAGGTTGGAAACCCGTAACTTTTATTAGTCTATACCACTGAGGAATTATGTAAGGAGTTAGATTTTAATTAAAAAAAATAATTGTATGAATAATCATAGCTGAGTTCTCTTTACAAATGAATTCAAAAGTCCCATGGTAGTAGAGGTAGTAAAAGTATTAGTAGTAATTGGAAAGATTAGGGATTCGACGATGTTATTGAAGAAGTAGAATCTAGTGAAATAAACTTAACAAGAAAAAGGTAAAGGTGATGAGGAAGTCTGAAGGTTAGGATTTGAGCGAACACAAAGCACTGATGTTGCTAATGGTTTTGAGCCATGTTATTAAGGGTCTCTAATCATCGATTACTATCATCTTGTGGACCTCAACCAGGTAGTCGACATCAGACAGACAGATACAACGCAGAACTTCGCACGTAAGTACATCAGTTCAGGTTGGCATACCACACATTAGCACAGAGACGTAACTGTCAGTTCAAATCCAAGAGTGATAGCAATAATAGAAGTATTAGCAGTAACGGAGAAGCTATGATTCGATAAGTATAGTTCAGTAAGATAAATTTAGAAGGAGAAAGATAGAGGTGATGAGGAATTCAGAAGGTTAGAATTTGAGTAAACACAAGGAGTGGGTGCACCTGCGCCATAGCAAACGATTCTGAGCCATGTCACTCAGGGACTCTAACCATCAGTGACTATCGTCTTGCGGGCCCCAACCAGGTAGCCTACCTGCTGACTGCAGAGGGGTGTGACAGCAGTAAAGTGTTTCCCTCGGACAACTAGCATCTGCAGCGATGCTGCCTTCTCACAAGGAAGGAAGGGTCGACCCTAAAACTGTCGCACTAAGGGCTTTCAAGAGCGCTAATACTCAGAAAACCTTTAATAAAAAGCCGTGCGTGACCGGCCTCAAGCAGTTGTCCCTTGATCTCTGCGGTCACGCACCCAGGTCTCTAAGACCAACACTAATCTACCTTCTTTTTCAGGTTCCTCAATTAACAACCTTCCACGCTGTTGGCAGCCGGGAAGTGACTACCGCCCTCATACCTGTAACAGCACACGAGACCAAATTAGGTTGTCGACATCTACCAACATGACTCAGTCCACTTGTCATTGACTTCCTGGTTTTGTGCCATGTGTCGGTTTGGCCACCCCTAACTTTCTTTCAACCTATTCCTATACCACAAAACATAGCTCGACGAAGCAGTCGGTAGTTAGACATACGTAACATATGTCCCAACCACCTCAAGTGATGAAGTTTCAATACTTCATCTGTTGATCTGCCATCTTCACTTAGGACCCGTTTCTTCAGTTGTCGCATGATACCCGATCAATAGTTCATAGACACCTCTGATCAAAAACAAGCAATCTACGAACATCTCCCACTCTTACCGGCCGTGTTTCACAGCCGTAATGTAGGATGGAGCAAACTACCGCGCAGTACACTTGATCGTTTATCAAAAATATCTTTAACCCTTTCTTTTACAATAATTTTTCAAAACTTTCATCTCTTTTTTTTCGTGTGTGTGTGTGTGTGTGTAGATGCTCATTCAATGCATGTAGTAGATACAATTCCATGTCAAATGACACTTGCATGTACCGATCAAAATGCTCGTGATTTATTAGTATCCACATTAACTGATTTAATTCAATATCAAATTCATAATGAACAACAAACCCCGAGTATGGATTCATCATGTCCTGTGAAAATGGAGCCTAATTCGGCAGATGATTGTTTCAATTCACAATTAAATGCGAATCCATGTGAGACTATGGTGCAAAACGCTTTGCCTGTACGTAAAGACAATGTAGAGGTAAATTGTTTATTTGTGTTTGTATTTAAGGGGTTGTGAAGATTGTTAAGTTACATGAATCAGTGAGTGTGAGATCACTATTACTTGAGACCTGGAAGCACTGACAGATGGCTGTTTCGTCCTGGTATGGGACTCTCATCAGCAGTGCTGAGATGTTTAAGAATATTGTTTGTAGGGGGCTGATAATTATCCGAAAAAAAGAACTATAGACTGCTTTAGTCTTTGTAAAGCAATGGGTTAATAACAGTAGTGACAGTTATCACAAAGGTGCACATAAATTGGCTATGAGAAAGCATTTGATAGTGTGGACGAGGCAACACGATGGAGGCTTCTTCGGCACTACGGTGTGCCTGAGAACATAGTTAACATCATAAGGAATTCTTATGATGGATTCAACTGCAAAATCGTGCACGGAGGACAGCTAACAGACACGTTCTAGGTTAACACCGGTGTCAGGCAAGGTTACTTACTTTCACCCTTTCTCTTCCTCCTGGTGACCGACTGGATTATGAAGAAGTCAACGTCTGGAGGGAAGCACGGTGTCCAATGGACAGCTAGGACGCAGATGGACGATCTGGACTTCGAAGAATACCTGGCTCACGCACGCAACAGCAAACACAAGAGAAGATGACCAGTGTATGTCTTAACATACATAGTGGGAAAAGCAAGCTTCTCCAATACAACACAGCATGCGCCAACCAAATCACTCTTGATGTAGAGATGCCTTGGAGGACGTTAAAACCTCTACATATCTGGGCAGCATCATTGATGAGCACGGTGGATGTGATTCAGTTGTGAATGTGCGGATTCGCAAAACAAGGACAGTATTCCTACATTTGAAATAGGTCTGGAACTCAAAGCAACTATCAGCAAAAACCGAGGTGAGAATTTTCAATACAGATGTCAAGATAGTTCTGTTGTATGGATCGGAAACTTGGTGAACATGAACGCCACTATCTGGAAGATAAAAGTGTTTTCTACGCAAGATACTGCGGATTCGTTGGCCATAGACCATCAGCAACAGTGTACAGTGGGAGAGATCAAACCAGATTCCAGCGGAGGAGGAAATGAGGAAGAAGCTCCGGAGGTGGATAGGACACGTATTGAGGAAAGTGCCCAACTGCGTCACAAGACAAGCAATCACTTGGAACTCTCAGGGTGGAAGGAAAAGAGGAAGACCAAGGATCACTTTACACCGAGAAATGGAGACAGATATGAGAAAAATGAACAACAGTTGGACATAACTAGAAAGGAAGGCCCAGGACAGAAAAGAATGGGGAATACTTGTCGCCGACCATTTCCGCCGCAACATTTGAACGGTTTTCCCGGTCTCTCACTCTATGAGAACATTCTCAGTGCCTGTATTAATCGTTACTCTGGTTATATGAACAGATATCGGTCTCGTAATTTTTGACGAAATTCGGCTATCATTATGACACATTACAACTTTTCTAAATAAAGACCTTCCAACTCACAGGACAGATTTTAAATGATTTTAAATATTTCTTCTGCTTGGTGTTGTTTTATTAAGTTAATTTTCTGTTTGGTTTCTTGTAAAACCTCATGCCTTACTTTGTTTGTCTATTCTTGTCTAGCGAGTCGAGTTGCGCGAGACACTGATCTATTCACAATAAGCAGATGAGTTTAACTCCAACTGTTCGAAATGTTATCTTTGGCTAAAAGCTATTGACATTCAATAGTCGTCACTAAATGAAAGGTGCAAATGACGAAACATGTTAGGTACAACATAGTTATTGAATATTGAAAACGTTATGTATAACACCAATAGAATATGTATTGAATTGTTAGATAATCATAATAATAATAATGGAGGTTTTGATACTTCATATTTGCAGTGGTTATATTCCAATATTTGAAAATGAAAATTCCTATCTGTTACTTTCTTATCCCACTGTACCTTTTCCTAAAACTGAAATTATTCCCCTACTAATAAGTCTGGAACTCAGGATTTCTATCTTCAGCGGTTGATTTTGATGAAGTTATGTTTTCTGATCTGAATGGTTTAAGCTTCTATTGGTCTAAACGACATTATCAACACAAATTGCATTGAAAATCATCAATCAATCATTGTTAGACCACCATTAGTAGAAATGTGGAAGTTCTGGACGACCGCTTCCTCCTGGTATGTGACTCATTAGCAGTGCTCTAGACCGGTCTTGGATTCGAATCCTGCTAGTAGCAGGAGTCGTGGATGCTTACTGCCACCGATGAGTCCCATACCAGGACGAAACGGCCGTCTAGTGCTTCCAGGTTTCTAGTGGTGGTCTAACAATGATTGATTGATGATTTTAAATGTGTAAAAGCACTGATCTCCATAACTCTAATTGAAAAAAAAACTGCTTTTAGTTTTTCGCTCGAATTTCTCTACATATTATAACTGACAGCTTGTCTTATCGATCTTAAACTTGATTGGGATTTTACATGTTTATCATCTCTATTGTCCAAAAAGAACAGTGTAATGTTCACATTTAAATTATTTAGCTTGAAGAATTAAATTTTTGGGTGTCAATGTTTTACTTTGGGCTATAAAATAAGTTTTCCAAAAGTTTTCCTAACAAATATAACCTTATCCTCGTCTGAATTTTCAGGAGTAGACCTTTTACCAGGAGGCTCGCTTATCGACTTAGAATATGCCGATGACATATTCCTACTTGGTGAAGACGCTGACAAAGTGCAGAGTCTTCTGACTATCCTAAGCAACAATGCGCGCATGTTCGGGATGCGGTTCTCACACTCGAAATGCAAAATGTTGCTTCAAGATTGGGTTGCATCGGCACCTGAACTAGTGACAGGGAGTGAAGTAGTCGAGCGTGTTGAACACTTCACTTATCTGGGGAGTCTCATCAGTGCTGACAACCTGGTGACTGACGAAATCTCAGCACGGATACAGAAGGCTCGATTGGCTTTTGTCAACCTGTGTCATCTATGGCGCAGGCGAAATATCCGCCCGCTAACCAAAGGACAGGTGTACTGTGCAGCAGTTCGCTCCGTCTTACTGTACGGATGCGAAATATGACCGTTAAGAGTAGAGGACTACTAGTAGAGGCTACTAGTCTTCGATCATCCATGTCTCCGAAGCATTACTTGTGTATCCTGGGACAACCGTATAAGAAATGCTGTTGTTAGGAAATGAGTTCTAGGTAAGAATGGCAGATCAATAGACGCAGTAGTGACACTTCATCAGTTGAGGTGGTTGGGACATGTGTTACGTATGCGTAACCACCGACTGTCGCGACGAGTAATTTTTTTTGTTGTAGGAGTAGATTGGACGAATGCTATGGGCGGCCAAACCAAAACATGGTAGAAATGCATGCGGTCACTGACAAGTGGACTGAGTTATGTTGGTAGATGTAGGCTATCTGGTTGGGGTCCGCGAGACGAAAGTCACCAATGGTTAGAGACGTTAAGCGCCTTTTCTCAGAATCATTTGCAATGGTGCAGGTGCACCCACTCTTTGTGTTTACTCAAATTCTAACCTTCTGAATTCCTCATCACCTCTATCTTTCTCCTTCTAAATTTATCTTACTGAATTATACTTGTCGAATCATATCTTTGCTCCCTAATCTTCTCCATTACTGCTAATATTTCTACTATCGCTATCACTCTTGGATTTGAAGTGACAGTTAATTGTCAGTGCTGATGTTGTCGTATGGCAACCTGAACTGATGTACTTATGTGCGTACGAAGTTCTGCGTTGTATCTATCTATCTATCTATTTATCTGTCTTTCCTAACAAATTAATTTCATTGTACCTCTGTAGAATGAAAAATCATTAAAAATGACAGAAAATAATGAAATCCCAATTGATCATCATCATTGTGACCAGTCAATAGTGATGTCGTCGACTGTGTCCATGAAAGAGTCAGCCAACATCAAATTACCACTTGATTCCACCACTAATGATAATTTGATTGTTTCGCACAATGTTGTCAATAAAGATGGCGATTTTGTCAATAGTAATCTAACCAACAATCACATCACCACTATACATGATACTAATGAACAGTGTATATTATCATCATTGAGAAAAAAGAAATCACCTAGACCATTGACTGAACCTTTAAATGTGTGCGCTGAACAACACCAACAACTGAAACAACCATTGACTATTGAATGTCAGTCAAACAAAATCATAACACCAGTGAATACGTCTGGTAGTTTAATTTCAACTTCTGATTTATTTACATCATCGTCAAGTTTACGATATTTACCGCATAGAATTACTAATAGAGCTCATATTCATTGGTTAGGTAAGTGAATTTATTGTTATTGATTAAAGATTTCCCATTTGTGAAAATTAAAACAACACAGATATATTCAATTAGAGTTATGAAGATTAGTGTTCGTCAGAGCACCATTAGAAGAAACCTGGAAGCATTCACTGGACGGCTATTTCGTCCTGGTATGCAACTCATCAGTGGCAGTGTGCATTCACAACTCCTGCATCTCGCAGGATTTGAACTCTGAACCCGGTACTTTCGGTCTTATGCGCGAACGCCGAAACTCTGGACCACTAGGCCTGTGTCTAGCAGTGTTAATGTTTAACTCTGACCAATCTAGAGATTTTGCGTGACTTCGCCCATTTGCCTTTGGTTGTTACTACCTACACCCGACAGGGCTGAACTCCGAAATGGCCGTCTTTCAGTGCTTCCAGGTTTCTAATGGTGGTCTAACAATGATTGATTGATGATTTCAATTATGTAAAAACACTAATCTTCATAACTCTAATTGCGAATATCGTAAAATATGCTCAATAGTGACTAGCTTCGTGAAGAAATTCTCGGGGTTCTAGTGAGAAGACATGACCAGTGAAGTTCATCCCTGTTGGGTGTAGGCAGTAACTACCGAAGACAAATGGGTGAGGTCGCGCAAAATCTCTAGATCAATCAGAGTTAGACATTAACACCGTTACGTGCCGGCTAAGTGATCCAGAGTTTCGGCGTTCGCGCATAAAACTGAAAGTGCCTGGTTTGAAGTTCGAATCCTGCGAGATGCAGGAGTTGTGAACCCACACTGCCACTGATGAGTCGCATACTAGGACGAAACGGCTTCCAGTGCTTTCAGGTTTCTTCTAATGGTGGTCTGACAATGATTGATTGATGATTTCAAATACAGATATAAGCGAAACACTATTGTTGTTTTCGATTAGATCGTCTTCATCAGGCTTTACTCTCTGATAAGCATGAATATTTATGATGAAAATGTTTATATGAAAAGTGATGACTTGCCAAGTAAAAGCGTATACAAAAAAAGTCTCCGCCGCCAGCCGATACACATACATAGTTGTACACCTATTCGCTACAAGAAAAATTTGGTTCGATATCTCACTAGCAGAGGAAAAATGATCTGTTCAGTGTATACTTTAGGTCAGGAGCTAGAATTTATCAACAGCTCACTGATCGAGATCGTCTAGCCTAGTGCGTTCTCAAAGAAGTATGTGTATTAATGTAAAAAACAGAAGTTGGAGACTTTGACCATTCGAAAGAAGTTTTTATTTGTTAAACTACAATCCAAAGCAGTTTTGGCTGGCGATACTCTTCAGGACAGATTAACGAAAGTAATTAGTAGAACATTCTATGCAGCCAAACTTGCATTGACCTTCTCTGCTCAACCAGCGATGTCTACCTAAAAGAAGGAGAAGTTACCTGAGTTGGCTTCTCCTATGTGCATTTACACCTGTTATTGATCACTGGCTACCATGGGCCCGCATCCTTACTGTCTCGGAGGGCAGTCCTCTATGTAAACCACTTGTTTCGATTTGGACACCCGGACAGTAACCCAACCTGAATATAAATTCATTGATCTATGGCGTATTCAAATATTTAGTTGCCCCTTTGTACTACCATTCATTGTCTGTGTACATGAACAAATCTGATTTCAGTAGGAATCCATTTTTAAAAATTTAGTTTGTTAGTTGGTTAAGGTGTAAAAGGATTTTCATCTGTCATCGATTTTTCTCCTCTTCTTCCTTTTAACATTGTGTAAATTTCAGCTTTTTTCTTCTCAAAAACACAGACAGACACATACAACACAGAACTTTGTACGTTCTGTACATCAGTTCAGCTTGTCATGCCGCATTAGCACAGAGACGCAACTGTCAGTTCAAATCCAATAGTGATAGCGATATTAGAAGTATTAGAAGTAATCGGAGAGATTAGGGCATAATTCAATAAGATAAATTTAGAAGGCAAAAGATAGAAATGATGAGGAATTCAGAAGGTTAGGATTTGAGAGAACATAAAGAGTAGATGCACCTGCGCCATTGCGAACAGCTTTAAGCCATGTCATTCAAAGTCTCTAACCATTGGTGACTTTCGTCTCACGGACTCCAACTAGGTAGCCTGTATTTACAAACATGACTCGGTCCACTTGTCAGTGATTTCATAGATTTGTACCATGTTTTGGTTTGGCCACCCCTAGCTTTCTTCCCAAAAAGAAATCTTAGCACGGATACAGAAAGCTCGATTGGCTTTTGTCAATTTACGTCGCTTATGGCAAAGGCGAGATATCCGTTTGCTGACTAAAGGACGAGTGTACTGTGCAGTAGTTCGCTCCGTCTTACTTTATGGCTGTGAAACATGGCCAGTGAGAGTAGAGGATTTTCTTAGGTTGCTAGTCTTCGATCATAGAGTCTTAGAAGCATTACTCGTATATTGTGGGACAATCGAGTAAGCAATGCTGTCGTTAGGAAACAAGTTGCAGGTAAGGATGAAAAACCAGTAGATGCAGCATTGAAACTTCATCAGTTGAGGTGGTTGGGACATGTGTTACTAATGCCTAACCACCGACTGCCGAGACGAGCTTTGTTTTGCAGTGTAGGAGTAGGTTGGAAGAAAGGTAGGGTCGGTCAAACCAAAACACGGCAGAAATCCATGAAGTCACTGACAAGTGGACTGAGTCATGCTGGTAGATGTAGACTACCTGGTTGGGGTCCGCGAGACGAAAGTCACTAATGGTTAGAGACCTTGAATGATATGGCTCAAAATCATTTGCGATGGCGTAAGTGCATCCATTCGCTGTGCTCTCTCATATCCTAATCTTCTGGATTCGTCAGCACCTCTACCTTTGTCTTTCTAATCTTATCTCACTCACTGAATTATACTTCTTGAATACTATCTTCAAACCCTAATCTTCTTCATTACCATTAATACCTCTACTATCTTTATCACTATGGGATTTGATTTGACATTTGCGTCTCTGTGCTAATGTGGTATGGTATGGCAACATAAACTGATGTACTTATGTACGAAGTTCTACATTGCAACTGACTGACTGACTGACTTCTTCCCAAAGAACATTAGTTCCCATTGTTATTTATTCTTAAACTATCTTCACATATTGAATACATTCTACTTAGGGTTTTTCATGAAAAATTCACATGAAAAAGATTTACATCTCTTCTTCTTTCTATGAAGGTCATGTTGCTGATCAATCAACAATAGTCAGTAAACAACATTCACCATCTTCAACATATAATCATTATTTATCTGATAGTTTTTCATATAAAACTACCACTTCTAATGAACAATTATCTTGTATTGATCATTTAATTCATCCAATCAACTGTCTACGTATTGATGGTCCAATGAATTTTGCCAAAGATAATCATGCAACGATTGGTTCAGTGAATACATTAAATAAATTAGGTTTGTTTATTGATCAGCCCGCACCTGGTCTGTTAATGGATTCATCTATTGTCCAATCAAATCAAAATATTAAATTATTCGAATCAAATAAGGAATCACGTCGTAAACGTGGTGGTAAGTTTTACTCATTCGTTGGTTCTTTCTTGCTTTTTGCGCCATTGAAAACATCAATCAATCAATCAATCATTGTTAGACAGAGCAGCATGATTAGAAGAAACTTGGAAGCACAGTGAAAGATGGCCACTTTTCGTCCTGGTGTTGGGGGACTCATCAGTGGCAGTGTGCGCATTCACGACGTCTGTACCTTGCAAGAGTCGAACCCAGCAGGACTTTCGGTCTTGTGCGTTAACGCCCAAACTTTGGAACACTGGACTGGCATCCAGTGGTGTTAATGTCTAACGCTGATCAATGTACAGATTTTTTTGTACACTTGTTTGTTGACGGTCATATATATATCCTGTAATAACTTGAATAGTTACTTCATTGTCTTATCACTTGAACGGGAAACAAAACATTTTAATGTAAAAAAATACTATATATGGTGTGGTGTGAGCTACTTATAAGTAGTATATGACGTCAGTGTCAACGTAATGTCTGGCAGCGGAAGATGAGGGAAGATCAAGAAAGGAAGAGTTAGAACACAATGGAATTTGTATGAAACGCATGAATAGTGACAATGGATTGATGTTTTGCAACAGGAACAGTTCAGTTCGGTATGATGAACAGATATTTTGCAAATGAACGATTTACGATATGGTTTTCCGATTTTACTGAGTAACTCTGTAATTTTCGTTAAATACAAACCGGTTGCCCCACCTGTGTTCTCCTTCACTACAATGGTACTATTGAGTTTAATTAAATTATCAAATATTCATAGTGTAGTATATACTACTCGTAACGTCGCTAATTAAGTAGTATGTAGCGAAGGGAAGAATGTCACATTCGGATGTATGCCAAGATCAGTGTTTCTGTTATAATGCTGTTATGTAGTGAATCGAAATCCTACCAATTAACCAAATTCAGGTATTCCAGGATGACCTCAAATACTGTTCCCAAATCTCCAATATATGTCAGAACACAACACCATTAGATGAAGATGTTTAAGGGGTCGAGTACAGAAGGAAGGAAGGAAGGAATCAAGGAATAATAAGCTTTACATATCGTGCATATTTGTACATTTAGGTCGAATAGGAGACAACATTGAAGTTTGTGACATTGATAGTTAGGAAGACCGTAATATTGACCAGTAGGAATAAACCAAAAAATAATTCTCTTAGGATATTTGATGAATATCCTAACAGTTTTAAAAACTGGAAGATGTGTAAATGAAGAAAACCAAGAATCAGCTTGTTTTGCAAATGGATATCTAAAGATACAGTGTACAAATTTTGCTAGTACATTATGTATTACCCAAATGCATTACTCATGTCTTAAAGTTTTCATTCATTGCAATTGTGTGTATTATGTTTTAATCTTTGTCTACTTGACATTGAACCTCTCAGTTCACATCCTGTTTGTTGAAACTTAAAACGCTGGTTGATTTGTTGAGTTAACTTCACGTAATGTGAGTTAATCCCGACCGTAGCTTCTACCTTGACGTGGTGGTCGGGATTGCCTATCGTGATGACCCAACCGAGTTATACTGGCTGAAACATATGTTCCTGAAGGTTCTACCATGCCAGGCAGGTCGATTGGAGAACGATGAGACTAAAAGCAGCTACCCAAGGTCTGAGGACGAAGTCGTACTGCTGACTGACTGCAGAGGGGTGTGACAGCAGTAAGGTGTTTCCCTCAGACAACCAGCATCTGCAGCGATGCTGACTTCTCACAAGAAAGGAAGGGTTAGAAAAGGCCGACCCGAAAAATGTCACACCTCACCTTACCTCACGGATTTCCATCTCCATCGGTAAGGGTGCCCACTAAGGGCCTTTAAGAGCGGAGCTAATACTCTAAAAATCTCTCATCAAAAGGCCGTGCGTGACCGGTCTCAAGCAGTTGTCCACTGGGATCTGCGGTAACGCTCCCAGGTATCTAAGACCAACACCAATCTACCTTCCTTTTCAGGTTTCTCAAGAAACAACCTTCCACGGTGTGGGCAGCCAGGAAGTGACAACCGCCCTCATACCTGTAACAGCACACAAGACCAAATTGGTCAAAATCAAATCTTAAATCAATGAGAGTTACTATCATTGTACACAGGCAATTTCGAAATACCTAACCGTGTTATTTCTATGATATTTTGTATATATTAACTAACTGAAGATATACAATACTAATATTTGTACAATGCATTGATATAATACTTTAAAACTATTAAATATCATCAGTTGTAAAAACAAACCTAACGCTTAACTACTTAAATCTTCTTTTCGTTGTGGATTTAAAGTATTTACGGCAATTTACCAGTCACGAATTATGATGTTAACAAAAACAAGATTTGAGAATGTCAGTAGAGTCGAGGACAGACTATAATAATGATAATAATAATAATAATAATAATAATAATAGTAATGATCAGTGCATAGAGGTAAATGGAACAACTGTTACCAACATTCAGAATGACTCAATATTTTATAAAATTACAGTTGAAAATTGGTTAAGTCATTTATTCAGTTAGTTAGTCAGTCAGTCAGTTACAACATAGAACTTCGTACGTACGCGCGTACATCAGTTTAAGTTGCCGTACCACATTAACACAGAGACGCAATTGTCAATTAAAATCTCATAGTGGTAGATATAGTAGAAGTATTAGCGGTAATGGAGAAGATTAGAGTTCGACGATATTCTTCAAGAAGTATAATGTAGTGAAATAAAGGTGATAAAGAATCCCGACGATTAGGATTTAAGAGAAGTCAAAGCATAGATGCACCTCTGCCATTGCAAACAGTTTTGAACCATGTCATTCGAAGTCTCTAACGATCGGTTACTATTGTCTCACGGACCCCCAACCAGGTAGTCTGCACTTACCAATATAACTCAGTCCATTTGTTAGTACCGTCACACAGATTTCTGCTTTTTTTTCCGGTTTGGCCGCTCCTAGGTTTCTTCCAACCTACTCCTACACTGTAAAACATAGCTCGACGAGGCAGTCGGTGGTTGGGCATACGTAACACACGTCTCAACCACCTAGAATGATAAAGATTTACTACTACTTCATCAATTGACTTGCCATCCTTACCTAGTGCCCATTACCTATTAACAGCATTGCTTACTCGGTGGTGCCAGTATATATGAGCAATGCTTCGGAGACATCTATGATCGAAAACCAGTAACCTACGAATACCTTGTACTGTTACTAGCCATGTTACACACACACACACTGTTAGGATATTCACCAAATATCCTAAGAGTACTATTTTTAGAAGTATAATCCTATTGGTCGATTTCTATTGGTCAAAATTATGGTCGTTTTAACTGTCAAAGTCAAATACTTCAATGTTGTTTCTGATTGGTCTTCCGGACTGTCAATGTCATTTCAAGTGTTCTTTCCTATTGGTCGTCCTGAACTGTCAATGTCACAGCCTTTGATCCTCTTTCCTATTCGACCTTAATGTATAAATACGCACTATCTGTAAGCCTTCATGATTCGGATTCGAATTCCGTTTCTCCTGCCTACCTCTCTTCTGTATTCGACCCAATAAACAACTCCATCCCACGGTGTTGCGTTCTGATACATAAGAGATTTGGAAATAGTATTTTGGGTCGTATTGGGATATTTGGAATGGACGCCGCTAGGACTGAATAGCAATACGCAGCAGCATCATAACAAATTTGGCGACAGGGATGTCACGATGTTTGCATGTCATTTAACAATACCTATCCAACTGCTTTAAACTCTAATGAAGTATAATTAGGATTCGAAAGTGTGACATATTGTTAGGATATTCATCTTATATCCTAAGAGAAATATTTTGTAAGTCTAATCCTGTTCGTCAATTCCTATTGGTCGTGCTAACTATCAATGTCACAGACTTCAAATGTTGTTTCCTATTTGACCTAACTGTATATATATATATGCATTGTCAATAACATTTTATGATCCGGATCCTTAGTCCGGTATCTATATCTTCTTTTGGACTCGGGGACTTCATATTTTCTGGGTGTTTGTGAATACACTTTCTACTCCATATCAAGACTTCTCCTTCCTCTACTTCGTGGGGTAAAGGACACTCGGGTTTGAGTAGCCTGTCATGTCACCAGATCATCCATTCTCTCTTTCGTTTATCGACTAAGGTTAATTTCGTAACAGCATTCAAGCATATCAATTTGGCCTGGTGATGTGCGTTTGTATTAACCGTAACCGCTTTGTATCAATGTTCATTATGTTTAAAAATACAAATTTTTTTAAACTTTTTTTTGTTTTTAGATCGTCAAAAAAGTGCTATCACTGCAGAAGATGTATTACGTTCAACTGGAAAAATTCGTAAATAATTAAATTTATAAATATTATTGTCTATTTTCATGATGTTATCATTGTTTGCTGATTTTATTTTTACGTGTTTCTTTGTTAAAAACGAATTGACTTGAGTATTTTATTGTCTATGTCATGTAAAAAATATCCCCCTTATATGTGCATGTAACTTGATTAGGGTTATATTTGTAGTTGAAACAATCAATCTTTTCGTTTGAATGTTTTTTTCAATGTTATGACAGGAATGAATTTTTTCCTCATTCGCTCACAAGACATTTTCACCATTGTTCAGTTGAATTTGAAATGAGTTCATTCTGTCGCATAAATTGATTGAATCTATGTGTTTTTATGAATTCCTGTTTATGCAGATGTGATTGTGTTACTGAGTGTTTTGTTTTGAAGACATCGATAGAAATTCGATTATTTTGTTAGAGATCCATTGTAGTTAGTCAGTTACGATGTAGAACTTCGTACGTGAGTACATCAGTTACTACACTACATTAGCACAGAGAGACACAATTGCCAATTCAAATCCCATAGTGGTAGAGATAGTGGAAGTATTGGCGGTAACGGAGAAGATTAGGGTTCGAAGAACTTATTCAAAAGTATAATTCAGTGAAATCAATTTATCAAGAGAAAGATAGAGGTGATGAGGGATTCAGAAGATTAGAATTTCAGAGAGCAAAATGAGAGTGTATGCACTTGCGCCATTGCAAACAATTTTGAGCCATGTCGTTCAAGGTCTCTAACGATTGGTAACTTTCGTCTCGCGGACCCCAACCAGGTAGTCGACACCTACTAACATGATTTAGTCCACTTGTCACTGACTTCATAGATTTCTGTCATGTTTTGGTTTGGCCACCTCTAGCTTTCTTCCAACCTACCTCTACACCAGGCATCATTACTCACCGAGGTATTCGGCATACGTAACGCATGTCCCAACCACCTCAACTGATGGAGTTTCACTACTTTATCAACTGACCTGCCATCCTTATCTAGTACCCGTTTCTTATCACCAGAATTTCTCAGTCGGTGGTCCCAGTTTTGCATTTTGTGTATATGTTGCATTGTTTCCATTTGAGTTATGATTTGTACTAACAATAATGGCTTTGTTCATATGGCATTCGAATTGTACTGTTTTGTGCTTTGTGAAGTGATAGGTCGTAAAAATGTTAGATATGCGCCTGAACAAATTGTGTATATTAGTTGTGACGCATACATGTAAACACGTCATTTGATATGCTTAAACTATTATAAGTTCACCTTCGTCAGTAAACGAGAGCAAGGGTTGATGATCCGGTGACACGACAGGCTACTCTAATCCGAGTGTCCCAAACCCTCATTGAGTAAAAGAAGAAGACCTGATATGAAGTAGAATCGGTATTTTACAAGCATCCTGAAGGTACGAGGTCCGAATTCAGGAGAGAACTAGGATTCTGGACTAGCGATCTGGGTTATAAAACGTTACAAATAATGCATATTTATACAATTAGGTTGAATAGGACACAACATTGAAGAATGTGACATTGATAGTTAGGACCACCAATAAGGAAACACCATTTAAAGAATGTGACATTAATAGTTAAGACGACCAATAAGAATTGACCAATCGAATTAGACTTACAAAAATCATTCTCTTAGGCTATTGGATGAATATCTTAACATTCGTAGACATGATTAACGTGTCCAATCAAAATAGAAAGAGATAGGTAACTTGTTGAAATATTTTCATGTTGTTAAGGTAGCGCAAATATTCAAACAGATTGTCAAGTTAAATAATTCATCGGTTATAGAATTCCATTTATCGTTACATTTGTTTATTTTCTATTCATAACTAGATGAAAATGAATTACGTACAGCTGATGATACAACAATTTTACAAGTGATTGAAGCATACTGCGCTAGTTCATGGATGCACTACAATTATCGAGCATGTAAGCTAGTGTTTATTGATTTTTTGGAGGGATTATGATTACATTGAATATCATGAATTGATCTTAACTAGAGGCTACTGTTAGAAATCTATCAGTACTATATGACCGATTCATCCTAGTGTGTGTGTGTGTGACTCATTCGCAGTGCTTATTGATGACTCCTGTATGCCAGAATTGAACACTCGCTGACGCCTAGCCTCAAGACCATTGAATCAGTTTCTAAATGATGTGAATGTCTAACTTCAATCAATGCATGATGTGACACAACCTTCATTCATTGCCTACGGTGGATAATTGTCTCCTACCCGACATGGAGTCCCTTACTAGAATGAAACGGCTGTCCATTGCTCCCATGGTTTTGTTCTTTAACATAATCTTACTCGAGCTAATGTTTATCAAAACATACCGATCAATGAAATTTAGATTGTGATCACGAAGCGAATTGATTCTCATTCTGTTATCTGATTGTAGGAAGCATTTGATTTCGACCAACTTGGTCTCGTGTGTTGGTACGGGTATGAGGGCGGTTTCCACTTCCCGGCTGCCCACACCGTGGAATGTTGTTTCTTGAGGAACCTGAAAAGGAAATTAGATTCGCGTTGGTATTCACGACCTGGGAGCGTGATCGCAGAGCCCAAGGAACAACTGCCTGAGGCAGGTCACGCACGGCCTTTTGATGAAAAGTTTTTTGAGTATTAGCTCCGCTCTTGAAAGTCCTTAGTGGGCAATCTTACCGCTGGAGATGGAAATCCGTGAGGTATGGTGAAGTGTGACATTTTTAGGGTCGATCTTTTCTGACCCTTCCTTCCTTGTGAGAAGGCAGCATCGCTGCAGATCCTGGTTGTCTGAGGGAAACAACTTACTGCTGTCAGACCCCTCTGCAGTAGTCAGCAGTACGACTTCGTCCTCAGACCTTGGGTAGCTGCTTTTAGTCTGATCGTTCTCCGATCGACCTGCCTGTCATGGTGGAACCTCCAGGAACATATGTTCCAGCCAATATAGCTCGGTTGGGTCATCACGATAGGCAAGCCCGACCACCACATCAAGATAGCAGCTACGGTCGGGCTTTTATCAATAAAACAATAAAATTTTAAACAACCGATACAAATGAAGTAGTAGACGGGAAATATGTTATTAGCTTCTTACAAATAAGAGTTATTGATCATCTAACATTTAAAATGTTACATAGCTCTGAAACTGTCATTCCAAATCAATCAATAGCAACGTAGAACTTCGTACGTACTGTACAATCAGTTCAAGTCGTCCTACCACATTAGCACAGAGACGCAGTTGTCAATTCAAATCCCATAGTAGTAGAGGGAGTAAAAGTATTAGAAGTAATCGGAGAGATTAGGATTATAAAATATTATTCATGAAGTAGAAACCAGTGAAAAGAACTTAAAAAGAGAAAGATAAAGGTGATGAGAAATTCAGAAGTTTAGGATTTGAGAGAACACAAAGCACTGATGCACCTGCGTCGTTGAAAACGGTTTTAAGCCATGTCATTCAGGGTCTCTAACCATCAATTACTATCGTCTCGCCGACCCAACCAGATAGTCGGCACCTACCGACATGACTAAGTCCACTTGTCAGTGACTTCGTGGATTTCTGCCATGTTTTGGTCTGGCAACCCATAGCTTTTTTCCAGCCTACTTCTACACCACAAAACATAGCTCAGCGAAGCAGTCGGTGGTTATGCATTCGTAACACATGTCCCAACCACCTCAACTGATGAAGTTTCACCACTTCATCTATTGATCTGCCACCCTTACTTAGTATACGTTTCCTAACAACAGCATTGGTTACTCAGTTGTCCCAGGATACACGAATATCTTCTACTCTGACTGTTTCACATGTTTCACAGCCATAAAATAGGAAGGAGCGAACTGCTGTGCAATAGACCCGTTCTATGGTTAGCAAACGGATATCCCGCCTTACTCCATAAGTGACGCAAGTTGGCAAAAGCCAATCGAGCCTTCTGTATCCTTGTCGAGATTTCGTCAAAAACACTAGGCCATCAGCACTGATTAGACTCCCCAGATAATTGAAGCGATCTTCTACATTTAACCTTTTCACTTATCGTCAATAGTTTAATGTTATTTTTTTAAAAAGCAAATTAATCTTTTTTTACTTTCTTATTTTATTTTCTAAAATTAGTGGACTCTGGTAAAAATGAATCTCGACTAGGCAATGGCTGTGGTAGTGGTGATCAGGGGATATTATCACCAGTGGAAAGTAAAACATTACTGCAACAATTTCGTTATCCTAAAAAACTCTCAACATCATCATCTTCATCATCATTTCTCTCTTCTATATCCACAACACCATTATCATCGGGCGCGCATTTAAAACAAGAACAACAAACCGCACCAATCACTGAATTCTCTCGACAAAGTGCACCACTTTCATTGTTCAATTCAAAAGCATCATTAAAACGATCTGAATCCACAACAAAGAATAAATCACAAACATCTTTATCACAAAGCAGTGCTAATACTACTACCACTACTACTATGACGACGACGACGACCACCGCAGTTTACTTAAATCAACACGTACCACCAATTGATATGATGACGATGACCACCACTGGTGGTACTAATTGTACTACTCATTGTACCACATGCGATGATCTTCCTGCGGCACTACATCAATCTGTCAATTATGCAATCAATACACAATGTGAATCAATTTTGAAAACATTCTCACCACCTCCAGTAATTCTACCGACACGTAGTGGTCGACGTTAATCGGCCAAGAATGTGTTTGTTTGTTTATTAACTTAGATATTATTATGAATATTTATTGACTTGAATTGAATTGATTTCATATTTCTATTCATTTTCATTGATTTTTCTGTTTTGAATATATTTTCTCGCCTTTTTTGTTTTACTGTTCATTTGTCTCATGCTGGGTTTATTTAGTGAATTTTAGTTGTTTTTTTTCTATATATATCTTATACTACTTATATCGTTCGTATAAGTAGTACACACCACAATCTAATTGATCATTGATCATCATTTGTTTGTTTGTTTTATTTTAACGCGGTCAATAACGGTTAAATATTTTCAATATTCTCAGTATTTCTTTCCTTTCATTCTTTTTGTTTTTGTTTTAACTGATTACAATGTTTGTTTTTTTCTGTGTTTTGTTTATTCAAATGATATTTGCTATGTTTTACTGTGGTGCAATCATCACTTGACTTAGATGATAATGGTATTATTATTATTATTGTCATTATTATTATTATTACTTATATTGATGATATGATTTTATGCAATAACGACGATGAAGAGTAATTTATTATTGGTTGTTATAAAAAATTTTTCAAAGAGTTCCTGTACAATAATAGTAATCAAAGATGGGGAATATTTGAAGGGATAATTGTTTGGCGGTGAGGGGCAGCCAAAATATGAGGCATGATAGCATTTGATTGATAGTTAGATAGAGTCATGTTAGTAGGTATAGATAGTGAGTGGCATGGTTAAGGTCTGCGTTTGTTATGAATGCACGTAAACATGTCATTTGGATATGCTTGGATTATTACGAGTTTACGTTAGTTGGAAATCAAGAGCGAGGGTCGATGATCCGGCGAGACGACAGGCTACTCTAATCTGAGTGTCCCAACCCCTATTGAATAAAATAAGAAGATATGAAGTAGAACCTGTATTCTATAAGCATCCAGAAAGTACGAGGTCCGAGTCTAGAAGAGGATCAGGATCCTGGACTAGGGATCCGGGTTATAAAACGTTACAAATAATGCATATTTATACATTTAGGACTGATAGGAACAACATGGAAGTCAGTAACATTGACAGTTAAGGCGACGAATAGAAAAAAACATATGAACTGACATTGATAGTCAGGACGATCAATAAGAAACAACATTGAAGTATGTGACATTGATAACTAGGACGATTATAATATTGACCAATAGGAACCGACCAATAGAATTTATACTTACAAAATGATTCTTCATAGGATATTTGGTGAATATCCTAACAGCGTGACAATTGTAACTGGTGACTATAGACTTTGAATGATATGGCTTAAAATCGTTTTCACGGGCGCAGATAGATCCAGTCTTCGTGTTCTCACAAATGCTCAGGCTTATTTCTTCATGGTTCTCTGTTTTTTATTTATATAACTAGTTTGTAACTTCCCGATTCATGTATTCGATCGTTGGTCTTCTCCATTACTGATAATACTGCTAGGATCCATACTACTATGAGCTTTAAACTGACAATTCCATCTCTTCGCTCTGATATGATATGGTAACTTGAACATGTTGTTGTGACTGACTCAATTGAATCATTTTTAAATATCTTCATTATCAGATTCTAAAGTTATGCCAAACTATAATGATGATATGTTTGAGACTATTACGAGTTCACCTTAGTCGGTAAACGAAAGCGAAGACAAATGATCCGGTGACACGATAGGTTACTCTGATCCTAGCGTCCAAAGCCTTCTCTAACGGTATCAGAAAGTCTTGTTATGGCGTAGGAAGTGTATTTTACAAGCACCCAATAAACATGAGGTTTTGTACAGAAGAAGAAGAGGAGCATACAGACAATGCTTATTTAGACAGTTAGGTCGACCGTGAATACTAACCAATAGGAAACTAGATTTAAAAGTATGTGAACTTGATAGTATGGGACGACCTTAAATATTGACCAGTAGGATTAGACTTACAAAATCTCTAGCATATCTCAACTACATGTTATCAATGAATTACACAAGAAATTGTAAAGTACTACATTACTGATTACGCAATCCAATTACATTTGACGTCAATTTTACATTCATGTAGAGTGTAGTAAAAAGAAGCAGAATAGAATAAGAAGATTTTCTATTCCGAAAATAATAATTATCATCAATTAGAAATGAAGAATGTGTTCACATTTGGTTATAATGATTTTTTTATGAAACTTCTTTTTTTTCATAGGTTTGTGTCGAAAAAGGAACAGACAGACTACAAATAAATGCACTGACCATTCATCGATTTATCTAAATTGACCAAAAGAAAATTAGTATACGGTTAAATATCTAAAGTGCAGTGTGTATAGTTTCACAAACTTTAATCATGATAAAAATGCATTTTTTTCAGGGAATGTTAGGATCGTTTATTATGTTAAAAAACTTGAATTGAATGATTGCGCTTTTAGATACATGATTAATATGGGATAATCACGTCTCTATAAACTATAACGAAACAACTAATATTTATTTAAAATGTCTGCCTGAATATGGACGAATGAATATTTTCACTAGTTGAGCACTGAATTGATTGATGTATGGCGTTGAGGAGGAAAATTATATTTATGTTAGGATATTCATCAAATATTCTAAAGAAATTATTTTATGAGTCTAATTCCATTGGTCAATATTTAAGGTCGTCCTAAACTATCAAGTCCACATACTTTTAAATCTTGTCTCCTATTGGTTAGTATTCACGGTCGACCTAAGTGTATAAATATGCACTGTAATTGGATTGCGTAATCGATAATGTAGTACTTCACAATTCCAAGCTCTATCATTTTTTGTGTAATTCATTGATAACATAACACATACAAGGCTCATTGTAATCTAGTTAGGATATTTGATGAATATCCTAAAGAGATTATTTTGTGAGTTTAATTCTGTTGGTCAATATTGAAGGTCGTGCTAAACTATCAAGTTCACATACTTTTAAATCTTGTTTCCTATTGGTTAGTATTCACTGTCGACATAACTGTATAAATATGCATTGTCTGGGAAGTTTCATGATCCTTCTTCTTCTTCTGTACAAAACCTTATGTTTATTGGGTGCTTGTAGAATACACTTTCTACGCGATATCAAGACTTTTTGATACCGTTAGAGGGGGTTTGGGATGCTTGTACTAGAGTGGCCTATCGTGTCAATAGATTACTTCTCTTAGCTCTCGTTTACCGACTAAGGTGAAGTCGTAATAGTTTCAAGCATATACATTGACAAGCATATCGATCCGTCAGTCTCAGCGATTTATTTTAAGTAAATCCAACAATTCGCTTAGCAATATTGGCTAAACATTTTCAAGGAAATATAATCAAATATAAACACATGGTTCACTGGTTATCTGTAAGCTAAGCAAGTCATTCATTCATGTCAACAATGTAGAAAGTGAGATTCATTGTAGTGTGTACCAGGCACTTGGTGTGAAAAATGAGTTAGCGACAACAGATGTAAGAGAATCTGATGTGAGAAATATCAGGCTTTCTGATGAAATTAGATAGTTTTCTGAAACAATGTCTATGTATTCAATATTTCACAGTATACATAAACTGAAGATGCGTAAAACGAACAGGTGCGTACCGAATTACAGGGGTATTTCATTCGCCTGATGACGTTTTCAACGCTTTACTCGAAAAATTTCCCTAGCTAACTAAACCATTCGAGGAGAATCTATCCGTGACTATCCATGTAGTCCACCACATCGTCAACGGTGGACCACCAGTCACGGCAAGACCTTGCCAACTGGCACCGGACAAATTAGTTTCGTTTGGCATGAGGGTATTCTACCTTGCGTAGATAAAGTACGTACAATCACGGAGTACACTGTACTGTCTACAATCGAGGAACTGAAGGCTTTTCTCGGTTTGGTCAACTTCTACCGGCGTCTCATTCCTCACGCGGCAGAGCAGTTACGACCATTAACTGACTTGCCTCGCGTTAATCCCCGCACACTAGTATTGAACAATGCCGCGCGTACTGCATTTTCTAGGATCGAAAAAGCTTTAGCTCAAACCATGCTCCTTGCCCATTTTGACCCATCAGACACGCTTAGTATAGCGATTGATGCTCCAGATTTCGCAATAGGAGTTTTTATGCAACGGAACATCTCTGGGAGTTGACAACCTCTCGAATTTTTCTCACGACGCCTTACTCCCACAGAGACGAGATATAGTAGTGAAAATGTAGTGAAGAAGAACACAGGTGAGGACAACCAAAATGTTTTTAGCGAAAATTACAGAGTTACTCAGTAAAATAGGAAAACCATATCGTAAATTGTTAATTTGCAAATCTTCAATCCAATTCATCATCTCCGTTGTCTGACATTTCACTATTCATGCGTTTCATACAAATTCCATTGTGTTCCCACTCTTCCTTTCTTGATCTCCCCCCCCCATCTTCTGCTGCCAGACATTACGCTTACAAACGCGTCATATACTACTTATAAGTGGTGCGCACCACACTCGTCTCCACTTTTAATAAGCTGTCGTCGTAGTCTTTTCGATCGCCGTATCGCTGTCTTCTTTGGTGCTTTCCGTGCCTCACACGCTTGATAATCTTGAAACCACCTCTGCAGTTCACTGGCATTCACGCGTTTTTGGTTGTCTCCTTTCCGTATCGTGTAAACAGAGCCACGTCTCTCAATAACAATGTACGTTCCTTCCCATTTCGGGAGCAGCTTCCCTGATCCTTGTCCCCATGCTACGGTGCCTTTCCGTTCTATACATCTTACCAGGTCCCCGACTTTAAACGGCTTCCACTGCCTACTCTGCTGTTCTGTCGTTGTGTGCGACATCGGTTTCTTTTTTATATTGCTGACTGCCTCCCTCCACTCCTTCTTTAAGCTTGTTGCCGTCCACTTCTGTTGTTGCGGCCATGTCTTATTGTGCATTGGAAGACGCCGATGTCTCCCCTACATAAGCAGGAAAGGTGATTTCTTGGTTGTTTATTGTATTGAGGCACGATGCGCCAGCAAGATTAGTGGTAATTCCTTCTCCCAATTCCCTCCTTTAGAGGCTAACCATTCCTTTAACGTCCGCTTGTTTCTTTCTGTAAGCCCATTAGTCTGTGGATGATATGGTGTAGTTCGTATTCTCTTGATACCGAACTGTTCCAGACGGGACTTAAACTCATCACTTTCAAAACAGGGACCCTGATCAGTTAATATTGTTTTCGGTATTCCGTGA